ATTGTAGGAGGTGGTTGATCTCCATATCATCTGGTGGGTCCTCGGAACTCCACATTCAGCCCCATTAGGGGTCCACCCTGTGGCCTCCCAGAGAGAAACACTGACTCTCCAGCACTCACAATACTTATTATCCATGTAACAAGGGTAACTTCTGATGGGATCAATCACTAGAAATGATTTGCCTTGCACCAAAATGGGTTCTTAGAAAAGACAAATATGAGAAAGTAGAGAGCTGAGTGTAGGGCCGATTGGGAAGCTGTCCCATCAGGTAATAGATAACAGAAGGTAGCAGAAGTGACTATGTTTGTAGCCAATTGCCACTGAGCCAAAGAGCAGTGATGCCAATGTACCAAAGCTCTTTAGGAAAAATAGAGGTGTGAGTGACAGTGCCACCTGTCCCAGCCTGGACTTTGACCACTGTCAAAAAGGGCTTAATGGCGGAATTCTAATTAGCCATGGTATTTCCCTCATCCAAAGCCAGGACAGTGTGGAACAATCACGAGCAGTCTTCAGACAGCAAATGCTGTCACAACAGAAAAAACACCTGCAGAGACCACTGGACACTATGGCTGTGTGGTACCACTTCAGAGACACGATTTGCTAAGATCCCAGAGATTCTTGCATTCAATGAGCTCCTGACAGAGCTAATAGAACAGAGATCACCCCAAACTTTGCCTGAAGAAAGGGCCCTACAATCCAGAACTTAGTTACTAAGTTTACTTAGTTGACTAATGCTGCTGGCTTCTGTAATATTCACCTTTTTCCAGAGACACAAAACCAATAATATATATCATGTCATATAAATGTACACATTTGTTATCAGTAATTTATCAGCATGTATATTGATACTTTGTCTTAATGCATATATTCTACCATATCTAGCCCCTCAATTATATATCTTTATATTGACATGCTGATTTTATGCACAGGAATTCCCCACTTATGAACTAGTTCCATTCTGGGTGAATGTTTGTAAGACGGATTCATCCATAAATCCAACAAAGTGAGTCTTACACACCTTTGGCACAAATATACAATGTAAAGTATTAAAAAAAAGAAACATACACAAACAAAAAGACCATACATTATTGCACTGTACAATGCAACTGTGACAGTGTCTGGCAGACATGAGCTACTTCCTCAATTTGTTGGTATCTGTCAACATTCCTAAAGTGAGATCCATCCATAACCCTCAAAGTTTGAAACTTGAATGTCCCTAAATGGGGGACTTACTGTCTATTATACAAGTATGAGGTATCCCTATTTTACAAGTAGGTTTTATATGTTGTGTAAGTATATATTGTGTTTGAGTAACGTGTGTAAATATTGTATTGATAACTTATTATGAGGGTCAGCTCACATAGCTGTGGAGGCTGAGTCCCTGTATACAGCCTGCAACTGGAGACTCAGCAGAGAAGGGGAGAATTGTCTCTTCCTCCACCTCCAAGCCCTAGGAGGATTGGATGATACCTGCCTGCACAGAGAAAGGCATCTGCTTTACTAAGTCCACCAATCCAAATGCTAATCACATCTCCAAACACTCTCACAGCCACACCCAAAAATAATATTTAACAGGTAACTCCCTGAGCCAGTTAGGTTCACAAACCATTATTCATCACCACTTCCTGCTGTAAAATGAGCATTTGGGAGCCCTCCAAGGCCCAGGCTATTTCACAGCATCAGAAAACACAACTGAGAAGACTCTCACTGGTGGCACAGCCAGAGGGGCAGAGAGGGCACCATGGAGACAGACGGCCTGATTCCTGCATAGGCTGGGATGCATCACTTGAGGTCTCTGAACCTCCTCACTTGCCATAAGCAGGGCCTCAGAATCACCCAAGGAGTCATGGCAACCCTGAACTCTACCTCTGGTTGACTGACCTCCTAATTCAAAGTTGTGGAAGGCAGAATTCTGCATGTCTGTGATGCTTCATATTGGCCCAGAGTCCAGTATCCAGCAGAGGTCAGCCTGGTTGCCCAGGATCTCATCACGCTGACTTTTGCAGGTCCTTGGCATGCCCAGGGGGCCTGCCCGGGGCCAGGGCATTTCCATGCTCAGCCACAGTTACCTGCAGCTCTCTGTGGGCCTTGTCTCCAGAAGTCAGCCTGGTTGACTAAAACACATCTGGGCGTCATTTCCAGTCTTTCCTTCCTTCTCTTTGTTTGGGGTGGTTTATCACAGCTCTGAAGCTCATGCTCGGCCCCCCACCTTTGCTACAGAAGATTCTAGTGTTTCCCTGTGACCTTGATATTGACAACTGATTTCAAGTTTGAAATAGTTGCCATTTAATTTCCATCACATTAAAATAATAATTCTGTTCCTACTTCGCAAATTTTTTTGTCTTTTAATGATAACTTTTATTATTTTAGCAAATCATAGAAAGCTGATGTGTAGTCATCAAATGCCTTCTTAGTAGTTTTTGGAAAAATTTTCCCCCCTTTTACCTATACAAGTGCTATGCATCATATTACAAGATGCCCTGGTATGAAACCATCTCTGCATTCTGCAATCCTACAGCAAATCCTACTTGATGGTACTCAAAATGAGTCTAGGGTGTGTGTGTGTGTGTGTGTGCTCTTCCAGGCTGGGAACCAAGGCTATGCTGTTTTCTTAAATGGTAGCAGTATTGTTTTTTCTTAACATTGAAACTATAGATGACATAGAAATTGCCCGTTCATGGAAAGTTTGTGTGAACTCAGTAGGAAAACTGCATATATAGTACCTAGAAATCCTTACAGGTAATTAGGGCAACATTCTTTGATAACATAAAAATACTACCCCAAAGTAACTAATCTTCCAGGTTATTTACTAATTCGAGCCATTTTTAGTCATATTAATTTTTGTCAGAAAATTGTTAGTATTTTAAAATTGATCAACAGCAAATTTTACATCTTAGTTTTATACCCATAAAGTTCAATAATAGTTCTAATTTTATTGGGATTTCTCTACCATTTTATTGGGATTTCTTTGCCAAAGGGTGGGTCTTAGTAAATCCCCCGGCCCAAGGAGTACAATTTATTTTCTTTATTAATCTTGCTGGTTTTCTTATTTGTTTTATAATTCATGAACTGTCCTCTTTATCACTTTCTTCCTCTTATTTTTTGAGGCTTTTGTTTTTTCTTTTTAATATCCATGAATTGACAGCTTAATTCCCATTTTTATTCTGTCTTGTTTAATAATGAATGCACCTAAGGCTATGGGTTTATCCATGAGCATAGCCTTTTTAATTTTGCAGATTACAGAAGGAGGGAATCAATATTTATCGAACATGTACCCAGTCAGATGCTGTGCTAAATATTTCACATCCTTTCTCCTTTGCAGAATGGGCTTGTCTCATTTTGCAAGGCTGTTGGGAGCCTTCAGTGAATAATCTGGAATACAGCGACTAGTGCTGAACATTGGTTACCTAAATGACAGGCTCCCAACACTCCTTACCTTTTGTTCCCATTATACACATGGAGAAACTTAGTCTCACCAAAGAAGAAGAATTTGCTTAACATCTCCAAGACTCAGAGGAGAAAAGTCAAAACAGGGTCGCACAGCAATTCTCCAAGGCACTTTTCCTGGGTAGAGGAGGGAAGCCAGCATTATAGCCTCAGAAGAGCTGGGTGGCATCAAGATTGTCGCCCTTTTTCTTGTTCCAGAAACCACAGAGCCTCCACTGTCTTTTTTAATTCCTAAGAGTAAAAGATCATATAGATCCCCACTCGTAACAGTGGACCTCCTTTGAGTCATGTGGTTCCTTTATTCCAGCAGAAGAAAGCGAACAATTAGCTGTTATTAAAATGCACTCAAGTTATTTTAGAATCAAACATACTGCCAAGCCTTATGGGACATTTTTCCTGCTTGCTCCAGGAAGATTGGGAGATTCCCAAGTTCAGCCTGGCAGGGCTTTGGCAGATAGTCCCTTCTCCTTGTCCTGGAAGAGCCGCTATGTGCCTCCCCTGGTATCTGGTAGGGTCACTTAGTTGTTGAGACAGAGAAGGGCGAGTGAGAGCACACCTCCCTACACTGGGACACTGTGTCTGCAGATGGCTATACCTTGTTTGTGAAGGTCTGGCAGGAGCCCCAGGCACAGAACTCTGAGCTTTCATGGCTCTTGAGCAAATGAATCTGTTCCCACTGTGCAGCCTGCTCTCTGAGAACTTGTCAATGTTCTCATTGAAAAGAGAAATGATAGAATAACATGTACCAAGTTATGCAAGTGTACACAGTGCAAATCTGGAAGAGCTCCACAGAGAGGTCACTGAGGGTCATCCTGTGGGGTCCTAGTAGGGGACAAACCTAGAGGGCTTGTGCATGATTGGGTAGGAGCTGGACCTTCAGCTCAGTGTGCCCCCAAAGTGCCTGGTGGGCTCCCCCAGCAACTCACACATCTCTTTTCTGCTGAGAGTTCCCTAAATTCCCCCCTACACTGTAGAATCCTTTGGTGTCCCCTTTCGTTAGTGGGAGGTGCAAATAAATGGGAGACTGGGGAAAGATGGGGTCTTCCAGACAGTCTGGAGTGGTCCACCGGGAAGATACAGATCTGAGTAACAGGTGGCTTGTGTTTTATGGACTTGGACCTGGAGTTCAGAATGCCCATGTGGTTTGCTGAGGACACCGTACCCTAAGAAAAAGCTTTATTATAAAAAACTAGAGTACTTGATTATGTTTAGAGAAGTCTCATCTAATAAGTGTATCCTATTCATTTTTGCTTGTTGGGACCAGAAGGGCTATTTGATAAATGACCCTGAGTCTTTTTTTATGTTTTCTGCTCTGGTAGTTCGCTTATGCATTTATTGCCTGTCTTGTCTGTTATATATACATCCCTTAGATCCTTGCTTTCCAGAGAGTGGTAAGCTCTGGAGAATGAAGGGAAATTTCCTAATTAAAAATTTAAGCATCTATTTAAGAGTTAACACCTATCCCTCAAAGACCAAGTGCATGATGCTGTAGATACCATAGTGGGACACAAAGGCATGGAACATCTTCACAGGGTTTCTTCTTTTTTCCTAAGGATTTATCATGGGGTCAACCTCACTTCATCCTAGAAGGAGCAAGTAGATTTGACATCCAACAAGGAAAAGCAGGTAAGAACTCAACATCTTCCCTCTCAGTTCCTGGGCTTGGACTTCTTCTGGGAAATCACACTGTCTTGGACCAACTTCAGTATCTACTTATGAGGGTTTCACCTGAATGGAGAAAGGGCCTCTCTGGAGGTATCTTTGTGAATTCTATATCAAGCACAGTGCCTGATATGAAATAGTATTCAGAGAAATAGTGACATTGAAGAAGACGACAGACACGGAAGGAGATAAGCATATGCCAGAAGGTTCACAGTGATATCCAAGGAGAAACTCAAGGCCAAGCATTGACAGGAGAGAACTCCTGTGTGGTCTAGAAACACCCCTGCATGGGTTGTGATAAACAAAGAAAATTATGGTCTGTTTTTCATAATTGTACCAAGTACCACCTGCCACTTGTGCAAAATTTGCTATGGCTATAGCTCTGGCTACCTCTGGTGAAAAGAGAACCAGAGGAAGTTAAACCTGCAGCTTTGCCAAAACCTGGCTGGGGCTCCCCTGTCGCCTCTCAGTATACTATCACCCATCACCACTGCTGCCTTTACTCTGTCTTGCTTGGAATTGGCCACAGAGAGCAAAACTTCTTGATAAGCTAAGCATCCTTAATCAAAGAATCCCAAGCCCAAAATACTTCAAAATCGGCAATGTTTTGAGCACTAACATGATGCCAGAAGTAGAGAATTCCACACCTGACCTCATATGGCAGATTACAGTCAAAATACAGGTGCTCTAAAAATATTGTTTAAAATTACCTTCACATTGTATGTATAAAATAGCTATGAGTCAAGGGAATTTTATGTTTAGATTTGGATCCCATCCCCAAGAGAAGTTATTATGTACATGCAAATATTCCAAAATTAAAAAAAAAATTAAAAATTGGAAACTCTCTTGATTCCGAGTATTGCAGACAAGAAACACTCAACTCTTATTCAGAAGAAAGTGTCCTGATATTGGTGGCCAGGACATGTGAGATCAAGGGTGGAGCTTTCAGGGATGTCCAGTTTGTGTCTCATGGCTTTATTTCTTTCTTCCTAGGGGACTGCTGGTTCCTGGCAGCACTGGGCTCCTTGACCCAGAACCCTCAGTGTCTGCAGAAGATCCTGATGAACCAAAGCTTTTCACACCAGTATGCAGGGATTTTCCACTTTCGGGTACGTGAGTTGCAGTGGTCCTCCAAGGTGGGCCCTTTGTGAGGCAAAAGAGAGTCTAATATTCCCATGCCTGGGAGCCCGCCGTGAGAATGACCCTTGTGTATTAATGACCCTGCTTACCACTAAAATGAGACTTAGGCTTATGCCCTGACCACCCTAGGGGAGACGAGAGTTAAATGGTTTCACTGAAATAAGAAATGGTAGGGACAACTAACAAAAAAAAGAGTAGTCGACCCACAACCTTGAAACCATCCTGGAGTTTGTGTCTCTCTTTGTTTCTGAGCCAGGTCATATTTTGATTGCAAGAGTGTGATAGGCAGTCATGAGCAGTGGGCGGGAGCTTTCCTTCTGTTAATTACTTGCTTCATCGTGGTAATTCTCGTGCATTTATTCCTCCATGGGAATTGTAAAATCACTTTGTCTAATTAAAAAGAAAAGCCACTGTGATATAGAACGGAGCCGCATTAAATTTATGTATTAATTTGGAAAAATTACATTTTTATTGTTTTAATTATTCCTTTCCAGAAACACGGTATATCTTTTTATTTATTCAGAACTAATTTTATGGCCTTCAATAAAATGTTACATTTATGTGTTCATATTGGTGCTATACCTTTCTCGGTAAATTTATCTGCAAATACATTTCAGTTTTATAGCGATGCAAGTGAAGTGTTTGGGTTTTTCCTTATTTCCAGCCATGTTTGCTGGAAGTAACAAATGCTGTGGTGTATTATACACTGCACTGTGGCCACCTTACTAAATTCTTTTATTATTTCCCATTTCTTTAGTAGAATCTGGATTTTTTAAAGTAATCTAACAATATCATCTGCAAGTAACACTGATTTTGTCTCTCTTTTTCATATTTATAGAACTTATTTTGCTCTTTTGCCTTTCATACTAATTAGGACTTCACAATTTTAAATCAGTGACAGAGTCAAAATCTTGCTTGTGATTTTTGTCATATACTTTCTTGACACGCTGCCAGATTAATCTTATTAGAATTTCTATACCTATATCATATGTAAAATTACTTTCTAGCTGATTTTTATCACATTTGAGCTAGCTTTTGAAAGCAAACTGATTATAACCTACTTTTTAAATTTGAAATAATTTGAATAAAATTTGCTAATCATTAATTATCTGTCCTTTGAAAGTAAAATAGACGAGATAGAAATAAAGTCACACAATCATCATGTTATCTAGTCCCACCTCCTTTTAGAATGTGGTTTCTTTAACCCTTCAGTGCATTAAGTAGCTATTAATTTGTTTGGGCCACTTATTTCAAATGAGTCCTTGAAATTTTTATTATCCTGGCAAAATCAGCCCTTTTTTTTTTTCTAACCATAGAATTTTGAAATGATTTTGTGAAACATTTTTTTTTAATTTCTAGTAATCTGTGGTTAGATTTACTTTCTCAGTCTCAGTGCTATATTTTTATTTTTCTATTTTTTCTTAATCTAGTTTTTCTCAGTTCAACCAACTTGTATTTTTTTAACAAATCAATTTTTGGTTTTCATTTTTCATTCTCTTCTTTTTCCTTTAAGGTATTGTTTTCTATATAATTACTTTAAATTTTATTTTTATTAATTCTCTTTTACTTCCTCTTGGCTCCTTTTTCTTTTGTGAAATTACAGTTAAGATTCTTATTCATTTTTAATGATCAAAAGCTTGTAAGAATATAAATGTTCTTCTGGGCTCTTATCTATATTTATTGGTTTTGACCTGAAGCATCTCACTTTTATTAATTTTAAATTTTAATTTCAATTTGTTTTTTGACATACATTTGGGGCTGTTTCTTTAAAGTTTATTCAGTTTTCCAGTGGTTAACTTTTCTTTTGGTGGTAATGTTTAGGTGGCTGAGTTTTAGCTTATTAAATCATAACCAGAGACTCTAATTTGTAAAATATCTACCTTTGCAGAAGTTATTAAAGTAATTTTATTTATGGTCCAGTCCAGGACAGTTTTTACCAATGGTCAGGGATATACAAAAATACCCAGTCATGAGTTTCACATAGTGAATTAGCAGATTGTATTATCTCTAATTGTTTTATCTTGGCTTAACTAGCCTGGTTTATAAAATACTGAAACAACAGTTGAAATTCGTTCTCACATTTGTGAAATCATCTTAGGCTTTTGGGTATTCTGCTTCTGCATGCTTTCCTCTTGGGCTCTTTGAGGCCAAAGGTTTATGATCTTGCTGACTTTTTGTTAAAATATAACTTGCGTAATATGTCCATTTGTTATATTTAGTGCCTTTGGCCTTGAATTTCTCTTTATCTGATATTCATATTGCTATTTCCTGTTGTTTAATACCCCGCTGAAGCTTTCACTTACCTGTTTATTATCAATTTCACTTTCACTGTACAGATATCTTTCTTATAAAAAGAATGTTTAAGCTCATTTCTTACCACTGCTTCTCCCTTTCCCCTGTCTTGATTTCCTTGTTCTAATTTATCCTTTATTAGCTAGAAGTAGTTCTTTGTGTGCTTTTCTCAGATCACATGAGAATTTTTCATTTGCTCTCACAAATGATATTTTGGCTACAGGTAGGCTTCTTGGATCAGATTGCTTTTCCTCAAAATTCCCAGTGTCTCATTGCCTCATAGCTTCCAAAATTGCCCAAAAAAAGCTCCATTGTTAATCTAGTCTTTCGATTTTGTATGCAGCATATACTTTCAAACTGCAAGTCTCTGTGAGCTTCTCTCTCTCTTTCTCTCTCTTTCTGTCTGTCTGTCTGTCTGTCTCTCTGTCTCTGTCTCTCTGTCTCTCTAGAGTCTTCAGTTATCTCCAGAATACATCCAGATGGTCCTTTTTAAGAAAGAATCTTGCCTGGGAAGCAGTGAGCCTTTACATCTAAAGCCCAGTCTCCTTCTGCTTAGCTACGTTTTTCTCTTCATTTCTGGGCCTCCTTTCTCCTGTGCTCATCTCTTGAAGTCTAACTACACCTGGGTTAGGTTGTCTGCCAGGCACCTTGCCACACTGCTGCTGGTCTAAGGGCCACACTGAGGACTGAACTAGAGAACCCAGTGAGCTGTTCCTAGGATCCCTACCGGGCTGCCAGCATTGGTAGGAGCAACTTTAGGACAAGTAGTCCAGAGAGAACACACTCTGCCCCTCTGGGTAACAAAGAAAGTCACACAGCTCCCCAAAGCAGCTGCATGCTGGCCTCTGTGGGTCACTCCTTATCACTCCAGGCTTGGGCAGCGCTCTCTGCAACGCGCCCAGCACTTGGGGCATCTTGCATGCTTTTCCCAGATACGTCTAGTTTCCCTACTGCTACAGCCTCACCACCCACATCTTTCTGCTCATTAACGACTGTGAAGATACGTTCCTTTCTTCATTTTTGCCGACATCTCTGTCTCTCTGCTTCTCTCGAAACATGTCCTCAGCTGGCCATGACAGCCTAGGGTCTGAAACATCCAGCTGCAGAAAAGGACATGTGCCTAAGAGGCCACATGCACCCAGCTTCAGCAGAGCCCCCCGCCAGCGGAAATGTACCTTCATCAAGGCCCAGGCCTGAAGCCAGCAGCCCTGCTGCCTCTCCAGCACGGGGGACGCCAGCAAAGCAACTCGAAAGGCTGGCCTTTGTAATGAGTGTTCCTCATTTGGCAGTGTCCCCAGGTGAACCATTTAGAGCTGAATGCTAAAGATGAAAACAGTCTGTTTTGGAGAGGAACATCTGGCTCATTTGCACTCTTCGTGGTGGCAGTGCCAGCCAGTTTCATTGCTGTGCTGTGATGAGAGGGCCAGCGTGATGTGAGGATAAGCGTGCTACAGGGGGGCTGTCCCTGCACGGTCCCCCCGCGCTGCATACATCACTCTGCCTCCAGGCCCTGGCCCATGTGGTCCCCACCATCTGGGATGCCTTCCCTGTGTCCTCCCTACCTGGCTACATCCTGCCACCTCCCCCCAGCCCTCAGGTCTGGCAGGCTGTTCAGGCTGTTGTAATCCACTGCTCTCCTTGGCTATTCAGTGGCTCCTCCCCCTTGCTTCCCTTTGTGCGTGAGAACCTATTGGAGTGTCCAAAATAGGACTTGCTGAATGAGTTAGTAGCAAAGTAAAACTCAAGTTTGCTTCCTCCCTGTCTGAGTTTCCCTTGATTCATTCATTTTCCCCATCTGCCAGTGGAGATGGCATGCTTGTCCCCTGGCTGGTCAACTAACCTGGGATTTTGCTCTGGATCTAGTCTGTTGTGTCAGAGGGCATATGGCAACTGTGAGGATCTTTTGGATGAGGTTGGAGGCTTGCAGAAGCTCCCTTCTGCCCTGACTCTACTAAGACCTGCTTGCCTCTCTTCCAGTTCTGGCAGTGTGGCCAGTGGGTGGAAGTGGTGATTGATGACCGCTTGCCTGTCATGGGCAACAAATGCGTCTTTGTGCATCCTTGCAGTGGCAACCAGGAGTTCTGGCCCTGCTTGCTGGAGAAAGCCTATGCCAAGTAAGTACGAGTCTGCCTCACTGCACCGAGTTTCAGTGCTAGCTCTGCTCCCCCAGGGACTCGCCCTAGCAGATGCTCCCTTCCAGCTGGCCCTGCAGCTCTGAGTAACCCTTCTGAGTGCAAGCATTGTCGCTGGAGCATGAGAGCCCTTGCCACCTGGTTAGGCATCCTCACTGAACCATCTCTGTGTGTAAGGGTCAGTGTTAGGGCCATCAGTAGGGACCCTGAGGCACAGAGCAAGGTATGGGCCAGGCAGGGACCAAGTAAAGCTATGCACAGACAGTATTGTTGCTATGCTAATATAAGAGACCAGCTGAAATGCATTTGTCCTTGGTTATCTGAGTGGTTCTAGGACCTACCCAAGGATATTAAAATTCACAGATACTCAAAATCCTTATGTAAAATCTCTCAGTATTTGCATATAACTTGTATATGCTTGAAATCATCTCTGCGTTACATATAATACCTCATACAATGTAAATGCTATGCAGATGGCTGTTCTATTGTATTGTTGAGGAAATAATGACAAGAAAAATTGTGCACATGCTCAGTACAGACACAGTTTTTCCAGTGTTTTCCATCTGCAGCTGATTGAATCATGAGTATCAGGCCTGCAGGTAGTGAGGGCCAACTGTACAGTATCTCAGTCAAAAAATGCCTTGGCTTCCTGTCCCTCAGAGTCAGGCTGAGGCGGTAGGAAGAGGTGGCATGTGAGCAAGACTGGAGAGGTGGACAGGATTCTGCAGAGCAAGAGGAGGGCCCACTAGCAGAGGCCATGGTGTAATGCTTCGTACTGAGGTCCAGGAAACCGAGGCTCCGGTGTGACAGCAGTGAAGGTGCATTTGTGCAGGAGCGCAGCACAGGATTTCCCTGTTCTTCTCTGGCCAACAGTGCTCAGGGCTTGCCTGGCAATGTAAGGCAAATGTAAGAGTTTGTAAGCATCCCGATTCATGTGTCCTGCTTGATCTTCAGGGCTGCGTCTGCTTAGCAGGTGTTTATGGAGCATCTCACCTTATGGCAGGCGCTGTGGTTAGTGCTGGGTCAGACCCTCTCAGGCTGTGTCAGTCGGATGCATGCAGGGCTATGCATACACGTGTGTGTAGGGAAGATGGCACTGCTGTGAGGACCTTCCCAGGTGATGAAGAGATGCTCAGATTTTCCACAGCCAGAAAAAATGTAAATAGAGTAATAAAGCATCCTTCCATTCCTATCTGACTCTAAAAGTTAAGATGCTTAGATAATGCCAAGTATTTGCTAGGAATTGGGGTCCCAAGAATCCTCAAAGAATATTGCAGGGCATATTTCCAAGGCAGTCTCCTGGAGGGCCAGATGACAGCATTTAGATTAGTTACATGCACATCTCACCCCTGGTGAGGACGCTGCCAGAGGGACCCTAAGGGACAGGCCCGAGGCTGTTCCTAATGGTGCTGGGGTGGCATGCAGGGTCTATCACCAGCATGCTCAGCTACCACAGCGCAGGAGCAGCCCAGGGGAGAGCCACTTGACAGTTAGAAAACACAGGTTTAGCAACCTGGGTTTTCCTCAGAATCCAGGTGGTGCATGAATGGTACAAGAAATACTGAGCAATAAAACACAGCCCTACTTATGGAAATGGAAGCTCTGTGAGCACAGTTTGCGTTTTACAAGAACACATAGGAATAAAAAGGTGTACATTACACATCCTGAAATGGGTGGAGAAAGAAAAGAACGAGGATAAAAGGATGGGATGGGGGTGTGGTGGGAGGGAAGAAAAGGCAGGAGAAGGACAATTAAATTAAGTGATGGAAAATGAAGTGAACAGGAGCAGGATCTCTCAGGCATAATATCATGGGGAAGGGGAAAATCAGTAATGCAGTCTTGCAGAGTCCAAGGGCGGGTTTCTAACAAGGTCACCTGCTATCCCAGCACTTGGAAAGCTGAGGCAGGAGGATCATTACAAGTTTGAGGCCAGCCTGGGCTACATAGTGAGTTCAAGGCCAGCACAAACTATATAGTGAGACCCTGTCTCCACACACACACACACACACACACACACACACACACACACGACCTGGACAGCACTGAGAGGAGATAGTGAGGGACCCACCAGAGTGAAGTCCTGGCTTACAGGCCACACCCTAGGGAAGAATGAGCAGGAGGAAGGATCAGAGACTTCTGAGAGCGCCCTAACCAGACCCTCACTTCACAAATGGGAAACTGAGCTTCCCTCCAAGCAGGGAGAGATAGTAGGTGCCAGAAGTTACCCTGAACATGCCCAGTCCCTGCACACCTGACCAGGGAACCCCGTTAGCAGGACTGTTCTGGGTCTTGTAGGATGGAAACCATGGTCCACCCTGTTCCGTCCTTCTGGAAGCCACAATCTAAACAACATCGGCTTCAAGATAGCTTCACGTGCACTCTTTCTTTCTACAAAACTGAAGGTTGAGGCCCGGTTCTGGTGTTAGAAAGAGGTACTCATTAGCATTGGGAAATGGAGCCCAGGTAAGAGCCAGGGCTATTGAACCCGCACACATATCTAGGGAGGTTCATTCACTCCTCAGCTACCTACACAAACACCGCCATGATCTCTCCCATGTGGATCCCACCCTCATCACGGCAGGGCCCGGTTTGCTCCTTATGTAAAAGGGGGTAGCATGGAGGTTTGCTGGGAGAATTAGAAAGCTTGCGGAATGAAATGATGACTTTGACCCCATTTTGTTAACAGCTGACCTAAAGCAATCATTCGGCTTGAAAAGAAATGGGAAAGTGGACCCAGAATCCACATTCTGCTGCCTAAGGAAATTGAGCAGAGGATAAAATGCTTCGAACTATTAAAGCTGTTTTAAAAGTTTTGCCCCTACCCATCCAAAGTAGGCAGTTACAGAATGGGGGAGCGAATTAAGTATAATGACAGCAGTTCAGAGCTGGCAGGGACTTCTGCGAACACTGATCTCTGCCTTCTTCTGTGAAAGATGAGGAAACGGAGGCTCAGGGAGGTGAAATGATTTGCTCATGGTCGATCCGGGGTGAGAACTGTTCTCTCTAGTCATGTCTGTCTCTCTAATCACTGCTTCTTGATACTGCCAGTCCTGCAGGCAAAGATGTCTGTCTTCTCGCCTCCTTTGGAACTGGTGGATGCCACAGTGTGGAGACGTCATCTATCCACAGAAACCGCCTCTTTTCCCCAAGCATGTGGGGCAGCTGAGTTCATATGCAGACTTGCAGTTATCCTTGCAGCCATGGAGTCTGGAAATGAATTGGCCAAATGGGTCAATAGTGGAGGGAAGAAAATTGTAGGTGGGAATTTCCCCCCAGCTGTCAAAAACTAGAAGATTGGTAGGCTTTGTATCATTCTCTGTAGAATTTCTGCAGGTAAGAATTGCAGTATTTCAGCATCCTCTCTGGCTCAGATATAGATGTCTGGATTTTTCTGTCTTTCATATCACTGCAGGCAGATAGACATTCCCTCAAAAGGACGCTGAGGCTGAGGGGTAAGGACAGGCTCTCCCAGAATTCCGCGGTTCAGGTGACAAGGCATAGTGACAGCTGCAGGGAACAGGCTTCTCCCTCTCATTTCCTTTCTATTTCCTGTCAGCAAAGAGGGCAGAGAAGAGTTGCTGTGTTCCTGAAGCATCCATGGCTATGTGAGCTCCTGCCTGCAAAAGAAAGAGATAGCTCTTGTCATGACACCCAGCTGCTGCTGGAGCAGCTTGGGGGCATTGTGGGTAGACAATGAGAGAAGGTTCTAGAAAACAAGGCAGGGTTGTCTGGGAGTGTCTCTGTGTTGTCTGCAGAATGGTGTGAGTGCAAGGCCTTAGATGAAGCCCAGAGCCATTGAGTCAGGAAGGGGACAGAGCCCCCAGCTTCTTCCTTGGAATGACCCTAGCACAGCTGTGTTTGCAACCAGGCAGGTCCTTAAATGTGTCAGGGAAGGATAGTGACAGTGGAGGACCTGGAGGGTTTGGAGTGGGTCCTGGACCCTTGGACCTCATGAACCTCCAGAATTTTCAGCAAAGCCCTGATTTAGGAACAAGAGCAAGAAGGCCCAGTTAATGTGAGGAGCAAGGCACTCAGACCCCACTGAGTCAGCAAACACTCCAAAGATAAGAATCTGGTACCAGTCACTACTGGGGCCACAGGGAGGAAGAGCAGAGGATAAGGTCAGAAGCCAGTGTCAAATCAGCTTTATTTTTGTATTTATTTAGTTATTTTGAGACAGGGCCTTGCTTGTAGTTTAGGCTGGCTTTGAACTCAGTAACAAGCCCAGACTGGCCTCGAACTCATGGTGATCCTCCTGCTTCAGCCTGCAATTAGGATTACAGATGTAGATCTCCAGGCCTGGCACAAAATCAATTTTAAAATGAGTTAGATAAACCTGTCATGTGCTAATGACTAAAGAATAATTGAAGAATTGTCCTTTCTTCTAGGAACCTGACTAGTCGATTTAAAAAAAAATTAAAAACAGGATTTCAATAAGTCACTAAGTTGCCCATTGGGGTACTGAATTTTTGGTCCTGCCTCAGCGGAAGGATTGCAGGCTCCATCACACCCGCATTAACTTTCTTTAATAACAGGCTTTCTAAGCCACCTTCTGCATTCATGCATGGTGCAATATCCTTCTAATGGTGGCTGCTCAGTAGGTATTTGCTGAATTTACTAGAACCAGAGAAGTTCCCCAAGGAGAAAATGAGCAAAGCAGGGGCAGGGAGAGAAAGAACCATCCAAGGGTTCCAGAATAATCCAATCTGCCCCCACCATTCCAGATGAAATGCAAACATCAGGGCAGGGAAAGTTGTCACCCATAGTCAAAATCCCATTTACAGGCTGCAGTCAGGGTGGGCCAGGCCTGTGACTCCCGTCTGATTTCGAAGTACCAGGAAAATCCATGGAAAGGGGTCTCCACACTGCCTACCCTTGCTGCCCCTCAGGGACAGGAATGCACAAGGCCCTTGTGAAAAGGTTGAGTCCCAGAGGCAGAGGTGAGTGCAGCTGTGAGTCCGTGGCCCGCACCGGGGTCTGTTGTCCACTGGGCTTCTATTCCCTGCCCTTCCTAGCCTTTTCTGGCTGCCCTGTAGGATCCCACAGGAAGCCACCACTCACTGCAGTGACAGAAACTAGAGCTCTCAAGGCCGGTCTGCTCTCATCTGGCCCCAGCTCCACGGTATCATTGTGAATGATGAAATCTCCCTCCTTCTAGAGGAGCATAGGCTGCTCTCAGGCCCACTGTTGGTGAGCTTCACCATGCTTGCTTGCTCTGGGAGCCCCCCAGTTTGACTCTTCCCCTTAGAATACCTGAGCCGCTCTCCTATTGGAGACCACTACCCATCAGCTCTGAGTAGGATTTAAAATTAACTAATTGGCTTTCTATGTTTATCTATGAGTCTGTCCTAGGCCTTGGCCCCTTACCTGGTGATGAGAGCTGATTCATAGTAAGTGAACCTCTGTGAATCACTGGTCCTGGCAGAGGCCTGTAGTGGCCTGTGAAGCCTGAGATACCTCAAAGGGCAAGATAAGGCCACAGCTGCAGACACCTTGGCTCTAATACTAACTAACTAAATAGAGACTACAGCTGAAGGAATTTCACTCCTGCAGTCACACTCCTCCCATAAATGGTATCCTGGAGATAAGATGTTTCTCCTAAATTGGCATAATTTACTCCTTGGAGAAGTCTTTGAAGTGACTCCCAAGGTCCTGCTCATTTCCCACACTTTCCTCAGTTTCCCCACCCTTTGTTGTTGGGCCTAATAAAAATGGGCTGTCCAGAGAAGTCTTAGTCTCGAGCTCAGTCTCAACCTCCTGGAGCCCTAAAATCATATCACTTGCCTTATTTTATTTAAGTCTCCACCATATACTCTCCTTATTTGGGTAAACTGGGACTCAGGCTAGGCCCTTCCAGGAAAGTTCCCCTAACCTTCAGATGGCTTGGCCCATCCTCTCCATTCCACAGTGATCTGCTTATTCCCATAAGGGTATAAGGATACTTAACAGTTTTCCATTGACAACCCTTTCCACCGAGAATGTTCCCTGGTGTCCAAGGGCTGCTGTGGAAGACAGATAAGTCTAGGGGGAGAAGGACAGGGTGACCTACTGCTCCTCACAAGGACAGCAGCAAGCTGTATGTCTTCTGTATAAAGCAAATATACTCATTAACCGTGATGCAGCCCAGGAAGGCAAGGGCTGCTGTCTTGTTCCTCAGAGAAGCAAAGAGAACTGACACCATTTAGTTCCTTGTCAGAGATGGAGGTCTCATTGGAGGAGACCAGGAACTGGACCCACGTAGTCTGTGTTGGGCATGTATATTAGACAGCTTTTCCTCACTGGGATATCATGACCAACAGGGTTATTTTGGCTCACGTTTTAAGGGGATTCAGTCCATGGTTGGCTGGCTCCCAGGAGTAACATCACAGCATTAGAGCAAGATGAAACAAAACTGCTGACTTCATGGCATCTTAGAAGCAAAGTAGGGAAACGGTGCCAGAGAGGAAGGAGCAAGGAATCAGACATAAACCCCAAGACTACCCCCTCTACAGCTCATCCAGACACCTGCAGAAGTGTGCTGTACTAATTCTCTGGGCCATGGCCCAGAGTGGGTCAAGAAGTCCTTCACCTAGCAAGAAGCAGAGGATCAGTGAGTAGTCACCCTTCCCAGAGAGGCTCCCCACAGACACCCCAAGGGTTAATCTGGACCCTTCCTTCCCAGGTTGCTGGGATCCTATTCTCACCTGCATTATGGCTACCTCCCTGACGCCCTGGTGGACCTCACAGGAGGGGTGGTTACCACGGCCAACCTGTATTCCTCTCCATCCAGCCTGCTGATGATGGTGAAGATGGCAGCTGAGGAAGGCTACCTGATGACTTGTGCTACCCCAAAGGGGGTGAGTAGACAGAGAGCCCCTGGCACTGTTTTGCTCATCCCAAAGTGGTCATTCAGGTAGCTAGGAAAGGAATTTCTCCCTGGAGCACCTATGGTGGGCTTTGCTGAGGTCACTGCATAGACTTCTACAACAGCCCTCCTTTTGAGATGGAGAGTACAGAATTTACTTACCAAAGGAGAGAAGGGGCTCAGAGAGGCTCAGTCATATCACCCCATCACACAGCTGAAAAGTGCTGAGCAGGGTTTGAATCTGCTAACTCCAAAGCCTTTATATACTTTTCCATCACTGGGAGTCACCAAGTCCACAGTTACCAAGGAGGTAATTAAGGGACGCAGGAGGTGGCAGTTGCTTCTACTAGGTATGGAGCTGCTTTGTGCTTCACCCTGATTCTGCAAAGATCCTCAATTCCTGCTGACACTAAAGGCTGCACAAGGGCGGCTTATCTCCTTGCGGAAAGCTTGCATGATCCTCCGAATTATGTGGGTCTCTTCTGAGACAGCTGGCTCTGTATCCCTGGGGGGTTTCCTGAACTTTTATAATTCTTTTATTGTGAGGGGTTGTTGAGCCAGGGTCTTGCTATGTAGTTCAGGCTAGCTTTGAACTCAGTATGGCCTGGAACTCATAATGATCCTCCTACCTCAACCTCCTGTAATTACAGGCATGTATTATCATACTCAAGACACTGAACTTTTTCAAGATGGGGGCTTTGAGTGGTATCACCCTAATCTGAAATGTCACCTGTCGGGGTCGCTCCCGGCCGGCAGGAAAGACACACGACAAAGTCTGGCAGTGTGCAACCTTGCCTTTATTTGTCTCCGCGTGGGCCCCGCGAGGCCTCCTCTCTGCCACCAGCCCTTTCTCGCCGGTGGACTTTCTCTATCTCTCTCTGTGCTTTCTCTCTGTGCTTCTCCCTTGTGGCGGGAGAGGCATTTACTTTTATAGGGTAACAGTGGCCAATCAGTTCAAAGCGCGCGATGCGGGCTGATTGGCTAACATCAGTTGTTGCTAGGCAGACTATCTTACAGAGCGGGTTGTTTAAGTCGCCAGGGCAATCAGGGGGCAGGAAGCAGGCGCCAACTTGACTCACTCGATGGGAGGGGCAATCTAGCTCAGGCTCCGCTCCCACCCACAGGCCCTACGTCCGCCAAGTAAGGCGACCGGTGTAGGCGGCTCCCAACATCTCCCCCTATTTTATTTACTTTGAATGAATGTATGCATCGCAGCCCGCCCTGGATCGAGTGCAGAGGCTTATGCCCTGTGTTGAGGCCCACCGTAGGCCCTTGGCTTGGACCCTGGTCGGCCGCCCCCGGGTCTGCCAAGGCCTTGAGACCCTCGTCCTTTTTCCAGGGCCAGGAGTGAACTGGACGGAACCTGGATGCACATAGGCATGCACTCATGCCCCTCCGTGTGATCCCCTGGGAGAGGCATCTAGATCTGGGCAGATTCTAGTAATCCAGCGGCTTTCGTGCGCCATGGGGTAGGGCCTGGCTTAGGTCGAGTCATGCTGGGGAGGCACGCTCTTACCCGTCATTGACTCACCTACCCTGCTGTGTGGTGTCATTAGGGAAGGAATGCGGAAGACCCGCCACACCTAGACCCGGTCGTAGGCCAGAGCGAGCCATGCGTAGGCCTGGGGGTCATTGTGCCCATCACGGGCTGCTGCCAGGGCTGCACGGGCAACCAGGCGTACTTGACGCCGGGCCGCCGCAAGGCGCCCATTAATAAATGATGTAACCCATCGGAGCAAGAATGGTCCTACAAGTAAGAACAGAAGCAAGGAGCACAGGGGACCTAACAATGGTAAAACATAGGGGAGCAAGCCATTCCAGGCTCCCCAAAAAGGGATTGTCCTGCAGTTCTTTTAGGGCTCATCTTGTTGTTGGGTCTGCGGTTGGCCCCTGGTGGAACAGGCCTGATCTTCAGTCGAGGGACTTGTCACGTCAACCTCTCTGGGACCCACAGTGGTTTTCGTCCCGGTTCCTGCAGAAAAACACAAACCGCGCCTCGGTTCCAGCTAACCACCGGATCCGGGCCCATCCATTGTCATGCCATAGATAACCGCGCCTTTGGAGGCAGGCCTTGGCTTACTCCCCCTTTTTGTTTTTTATTTTTTATTTTATTATATTTTTTTTTATTTTTGGTCTTTTTCGTTTTTTTTTTTTTTTTTTTTTTTTATCGGTGCCAGGGATCGAACTCGCGATTGCCTGCTTACAAGGCAGGCGCTTATGCCGCTAAGCTAAATCCCCAGCCCCCGTTTCCTCAACCGGCGTTTTTCTCAGCCTGCTCGGCAGAGTAGCCACCCATGAAAATACCGTCCGCCCCGCGGCGCAACGTCATAGGATGGCGGTCGCGACAGAGTGGAACGGGGCGTCACTTCCTGTGCCGGCTGAGAGAAGGGAGGGTTCCCTGTAGCGGCCTCTCGGCGGGGAGCCGCTTCTGGAGAAGAGCTCCAGGGCGGAGCGGATGGCTCTCTATCTCCTCCCCGCCAGAGAGCGCTTGGGGGTCCTTTTTCCTCTCTCTGCTTTTTTCGGGCGGCGCACGCACACAATTCGCGGCGCAACTCGGCATAGGAGTCAAGGCACGCATGTATCATTTCCCACAGGGGGCGAATAGCCGGCGAAATATCCCCTCCCAATTCCGCCGAGGCGAGGTCCCCGCCTAACTTCTCCCATGACGGCAGGTTTAAATGCCCCGTGGGTAAAAACCAGGGAGCCACCCTATCTACCTCTGTTATGAATAGTTCCAGTGTTTTTTGACCTACCCTGAGGTCTCTAGCTTTTAAAAGCTTCCTAAGGGCCTTTACCAAGGGCCGCGCCTCTGCGCTCGGTAAATTACCCATCCTCAACCTCTAAGGGCTGTAACTCACCGCGTATGACTTAGAGAACCCGTCACCTACGCGTGAGCCTGAGGGGAGTCTAAAAGCCCTGTAGGTGCGCGCCACCCAGAGCCCAGGCTTATCCCCAACTCACCTGTCCGGCAGCACCACGCTGGAGCGTTGCACACCACCGCCGTGTCTCGGGGTTGATCAGTCCCCTTGCGGGTCACCAAATGTCGGGGTCGCTCCCGGCCGGCAGGAAAGACACACGACAAAGTCTGGCGGTGTGCAACCTTGCCTTTATTTGTCTCCGCGTGGGCCCCGCGAGGCCTCCTCTCTGCCACCAGCCCTTTCTCGCCGGTGGACTTTCTCTATCTCTCTCTGTGCTTTCTCTCTGTGCTTCTCCCTTGTGGCGGGAGAGGCATTTACTTTTATAGGGTAACAGTGGCCAATCAGTTCAAAGCGCGCGATGCGGGCTGATTGGCTAACATCAGTTGTTGCTAGGCAGACTATCTTACAGAGCGGGTTGTTTAAGTCGCCAGGGCAATCAGGGGGCAGGAAGCAGGCGCCAACTTGACTCACTCGATGGGAGGGGCAATCTAGCTCAGGCTCCGCTCCCACCCACAGGCCCTACGTCCGCCAAGTAAGGCGACCGGTGTCGGCGGCTCCCAACAGTCACCAGAATCCACAGCTGCATTTTAGGACCCTTTTCCTCATACCAGGGGCCCTAGGGTATTCTGCAATCCACCTGGCAGACAGGATTTGGGCTGAGCCTGTGCCTGGTAGTGACAAGTGGCTGGTGAAGTGAGCATCCCAGGTCCTCAGGAACTTCTGGGCATGAAATACGCAGAGCCTGACCTCATGACTACCTTCCTCTGTCTTTCTGGAAGGGAGTTCAAATGCATGTGCCCTCGGGAGGACCAGGACCCCACTGTCCTGCTGCCATCTGAGCTGTGTTTCTCCATCTTACCCGGGGCTCTGAGGGCTGTGCCAAGGTCTCAGATTGCTTTTCTCCTTTGCAGCCAACAGACGAGTCGGAGGTGACCGAGAACGGGCTGGTGAGTCAGCATGCCTACACAGTGACCGGGGCAGAGCAGGTGAGGCTGGCTGCTGGCCTGTCTTCTCTCTCCTGGCTTCTGCCTGTGTCTTGTTCTACCAAACAGGAGCTAGAAGTGCATTCCTCCAACAAGCACAAAGCTGACACTAGTGATTTCCACCGTCACCCCACTATGGCATCCTCAAAGGGCAGACTCAGTTGCTTCCAGAAGTTTCTAGATGCACTTCTTGCCAGGGGCCCTCTGAGTGCTTTCTCTTGCCTTGAAGTGATCCCAGGTGTCAGTGCCTAGCTAGAAGCTGGGGCTTACCCCAAAAGGAGGTAGAATGAACTATCCAGCTGACTCTGGGGAGAGGTTTTACCCTGAAACAGATTTCATTTGTGACTTACAAGCTACTCCCAGCCTTAGGCACTTATGATAGTGACTTTCTTTCTCAGGAAAGCAGGTGGCCCAAGACTGGTAGATGACTCTGCCATCCTCAGTCAGGTGCTTCTACCTGTGAGCCCAAGACAGCTGCTCCAGGTCCCCTCATCTCCCAGCCCAAGGTCCTTTGTGCACCCACAGAAGCAGACGCCAGTTTTTCTCACATCTGTTTAGCCTGATCTTAGACCTGCAGGTACGCAGAGGCCCAAGCAGGCTGGGACATGCACCATCCAGCTGGCTGTCACATGGGCAGATGAAACTTCGCTCTCATGGAAGGGTGGGAAGGACGCATCTGACCACAGGCTTCTGACGCAAGAGCCAGCTGTGGGTAGACAAAATGTGTGTGCTCACTGTGCCGCAAGATATGTCTAGAGAACACTGGTGGAGTGCAGCTTGTTCTGCTCCTAAGTGCTCATAAAGGAAGAAAATGAGGCCTGATGGGAGAAATGTCTTTTGCAAGGTCACAAAGACAGCTTCTTGTAAAATGACCACCTGGGCCCTCCTGTCTCTTGAATACCTGTCCGTGATGATCCCACAGCAGAGCAGTTACAACACGTCCTGGCCTTGTGAGGGTTTCCTTCCCGTGTCTCTATGTTTCCCACAACTCTTGAGGTCTGATAATGTCTTCTAAGTGCTGAGACAGAGTTCTAAACTCTAGGGTGCATTTCTCATTGATGGCTTTTGGAACCAGTCATGGAGAATGTCAGGTGCTGTCTCAAACTTTCCCTGCCTCTCTCTCTCTGTCCATCTGTCTCTTCTGTCCATTGACGCAAGGCCCATTGTTCCATTATTTCATGTTTTGGTGAGTGTCCCAGTTCACAGGATAGGGACAGTATCTCCTGTCTCCTGCCTGCCTCCCCAAAATAATTCAGCAACAAAATGTTTCCTCTGCAATAAATGCTTGTTGGATCAATAGGTGAGTGCACTTGCCTGAGCCAATGAATGGATTTGCCCTAGGCAGTGAAGATGACAGTACTGATCCCCTGTCATAGAACATGTCTGAGGAGCCTAGAAGGCATTTCCTATGTGCAAGGAAGAGCATGGGCCTGCAGGGTTCTGATCACCACCACTCTAGGATGGCTGACTTTTCAACCGCGCTCCGGCTTCTCTGGTCTCCCTTCCCTGATCCTCAGTGGGGATAGCTGATGCCACTGTCGGACTTGCAAACAGTAGGGACAGAGAGGTCTGATCTCATGGGCCAGCTTTGATCACTGGCTGTACTGTCTGGATTCCTGTGTTGAAAAGACATTGGCACTGCTTCCAGATTTGGGGAAAGACCCATGTTTGATTTGTGATCTCTGTGCTGACATAGGCTGAACAAGTGGTCTGAACAGAGCACCTCACATGGGCTGACAGTTGACCAAGTTCACGTGTCCTGCAGGGCCCATCCCTCCTTGCCATTATGAACCACTGACACTCCACAGAGTGCGCTCTCAGAACTACCCTGGGAGAGCCTTGGTGAAAATGGTCTTCCAAATTCATTTTGAAAACACAATTCATCATTTCCCCTTCCTGGAGACTTGTGGTATATATTAATTGTTATAGGCTCTGAGATCTGCATTTGAAAGTACTGCTTGGTTTTATTCTATCATTTGCCATGAAACTGTTTTGTTCCAGAAGTAACTCCTAATGGCCAGTGGAGCTAATGTTCACGAGTGGCCCTCAGAGGAACTATCTTCCTAGGGTGAACCACAGGGTCACTTCTGGCCCAGTGGCAACTGTTGGGAATATGGGCAGCTGCCAGGGTGGCGAAGGTGACCCTTGTGCTCCTAGCCAAGGCCCCTGTGATCACCAGCAGGGTGCTGTCATAGCAGTCACAGTTACATAAAGACCCAGGAACTTGGCTAAAGATTTCTCCTCCAGAGAGAGAAGGGGTTGGTTCTAACTCTGAGCCATAAGTGCTAAGATTAAACCAGCCCATGAATGCAGTATGCTTTTTAATCTGCTCATCCTCCCTCTAGGCAGGACACAGACAGCAAGATAAATGAAATTGGCATTTTTTATTATGCACCTAGCTCTAGCAGTGACTCCCCTGGGCAAGGGGGTGAGTGTTTATCTGCATGCCTCATTTAGCTCTGCTCTCAGCCCCTCTGAATCACTGGCCGCTTTTCCTTCCTGTGCCCAACAGGGCCTCCGACTATCCACTGGGCACTGAAAGTGGCTCATTAAACTTTGTGGGCCACCAGGCAACCATTTCTCATGTCCCTGCTCAGTGGGCTCTACCAGGTGCTGGCAGCTAATGATAAATGACGTGCAAGGCCTGGGGATGGGGCAGAGGGTGTGGAGCCCTGTGTGGTGGCACTGGAAGCCAGGGTACCTTCCGTATGGCTGGGCCCTTGTATGACAATGTTGTACCTTCTGGGCAATGCTCCGCTGGTGATCACACAGGCCTGGCCAAGTGCTCAGGTGTTGGATCTGAGGCCAAGCTCACGGCCACATTCAAGAAGAGACCTTTGTCTATGTCAATTTCAAAACTCAGAGCCTGAGATTTAGAAAGTAACAGTGGGTAGGACCAGAATCCTGCCTCTCCCCTCTTCGCCATGTCTTGGGGACACTGCTTACCCTCTCTGAGGCTCAGTTTCCTCCTCCGCAGGACAAAGTCACTGTAAGCATCTGCCCCTGAGAACTGTAGGTGGAGGACAAATGCCAGCTCTGAGATTTGCATCCACATGTGGGCTCCCCCTTCCCCATCCCTCCATCTCTTCACGCAGGATCAGTGCACACCAACAGCCCAGCGATAGCTCAATTTTAATTCCCTTCTCCAGACTAAGGGCTCCAGGGCTCCGGAAATGGAGGTCCAAAGGCTTGCTGCTGTTCCGTTGAAAGTTTCCCACAGCCCCGCCCTCTGGCTTTAGGGGAGTGGGGCAGCAGCAGTGTCTGAAGTGGGTGATGATGGACAGGGAAGGAGGAAGGGTAGGAGGGAGGGAGGGAAGCTCAGGCCATTGTGGGTCAGCTACCCTTATGCAGAGCTGTCTGCACAAGGGCATAGGGTGAGGTAGCTAGCCTTGGCCATTTCAGTGCCCTCTTGACCACATCGGCCTCCTCAGCCCTCCTCACTTGTAATATCGCCATCAGCTTCCAGCCAGCCGCTGGCAGGGGCGCAAGCTCTGTCCATAGGATAGGGATGCTGTCTGCCGCAGGGCTTGGACCTGGGGACCCATTAAGCTCTCTCCTCTGCAACGTGAAGCAGCAGCCCTGCTGTTTATCTGCTGTTAAATCCCAGCTTCACCAGCACAGCCCGATGACCTTGCACCTCCTGCGAGGGGCCGAGCAGAAGAAAGGGCCATTTTTCCCTCTATCTCATTCTAAGTCCATGCAGGCAGCAAGAGAGTCATTGATTTTTTTTTTTTTATCCTTTTCATTTTTTTTTTTTTTTTTCTGGCTGTAGCCAAATGAGGTCAGAAGTTAAATTAGTCCTCGGAGGGAGAAAGCGGCGGCATTCATTTTCCCTTTCTGCTGACTTGAGCCAGAGAGCCCTGACACGTTCCTTTTCCGGTCTTCATTGCAGATTCAGTACAAGACAGGCTGGGAAGAGATCATCCGCCTGTGGAACCCTTGGGGCAACACGGAGTGGAGAGGGCGCTGGGGAGATGGGTATGGCTGCGGGGCGGCTGGGGAAAGCCTTCACCCAGAAGCCCTCCAGGCAGGAGCATCCTGTCCCACCTGCCTCTGGGCCTCGCTGCAAACCTTTCCTGTTCACAGCTGGGTGTGGCCACGGGGCCACCTCCCACTCCCATGGTGCCTTTCTGCTGGCATCTAGTAGACATCTATCATGTGTACCGTATGAAGCGTGTGAGGTGGGAGCTCGGGGGAATATATGGGTGGTACAACCTAGTGTCTGTCCTCTAGGAGGCTTGTCTAGGGCTGTGAACCTGGGTACCCAGGATTGGTGAAGACGGTGGGGTGCAGACCAGCAGCCAACCCTCCACTTGGCAAGATAGGTGGAGAGCAGGAGACTCCAACTTGTGGCTCCTAATTCCCCTGATGGCAGGGGACCAAGGAGGAAAAAGTTTACCTCTGGGATAAATGTGGAAACTGAGGCAAGGACCTGGATGATCAGCTCAGCTCAGGGCTGCCCACTGATCTGGACACCCACACATCCAGGAACTCGCAATGACACCTTGAGCATGTGGGAATGAGTGGAGTAAGTGTGTCTCTGATGCCCTGGGGAGCATGTCCTGGTGGGGCCTGGCTGTGTGGTCAGTAGCTTCCCACAGAGCTGCACTGGCATTTCCCAGTTGGCACAGGACCTAAGCCCTGGCAACCCACCCCTTGCTGCCTAGGAGTGAGAAGGCGGTCCTGAGAAGTCTCAAGGAGCAGAGTAACATGTTACTTGCTCCTCTCAGGGGCCGTTTGAGGCTGGCACTGTGGCATTCCTCTGAGCATTTGTGCAGGTCCATGCAAAGTGTCATGACACAGTGGTCACAGCATTGTTGCTGCCTAGGAGTGGGAAGGCGGTCCTGAGAAGTCTCAAGGAGCAGAGTAACATGTTACTTGCTCCTCTCAGGGGCCGTGAGGCTGGCACTGTGGCATTCCTCTGAGCATTTGTGCAGGTCCATGCAAAGTGTCATGACACAGTGGTCACAGCATTGTTGTCAGAAGCGAGATAGGGGACAGAGGATGATGGGAAAGGAAAAGCAATTTGTTCAGACAGACAGGAGCACAGGGCCCACCAGGCAATGGAAATCAATACAGTGAACACAACGCATTTGGGAAAGCGGAAGCAGCCAGCCAGTGCTCAGCCCTGACATCCATCAGGCTGCCTGACCGTGGCCTGGCGCCCCCTGCTGTGTGTGGCAGGACCGCTCTGATTGATTCTCTTCGTCCTCCAGAGGCTAGTGTGCCTGGTACACATCAGAGCTCAGCCGTGTATGTGCTGGCTGAGGGGGGAAGAGAGGGAATAGGGAAGAAACAGCAAAATGAGTTCGTAGAATAAACCTGGCTGTGACCTCAGATGCCCCTTAGAGAACAGGGAGCTGAATCCCCGCCCCCCAGAAGGGGAAAGAACTGACCAAACCATGAACCAATAAGGCCTGGACAATACCTGTCACTTTTTCTTCTGCTTGTGTTCTCTCTTCCTCGCAGAAGTATCCTTTATCTTTCCCAACATAAATCCTAGTCACCTTGGCCAGAATCTGTGACATTGGGCTGGCCATGCAGGGTAGAATCAGAGGGAAGGCCAATAGCCAGAGACCCTAGGGTAAGAAAATGAACTCGCATGAGTTGGTATTTCCGCCCCGTCTCCTGAATGATCAGAGTTGCCAAAAAAGGGACACCAGAGACGGGGGAGAGAAATACTCCCTGGTGGGCACATTCAGCCAAAGTGTCACAGATATATCAATGCTTTGGGGCAGACATGAGACAGGAGGAGAGGCACAGCCGTGGTCCCTAGCCAGTAACGGGCCTGTCCTGCTCCAGGCCACCAAGCTGTCCTTGAGCAGAGGTTTTGGGGAGAGAGAGCGGTACTGCTGAGGGTCACCCACTTGCTCCCACCTCCTTGTCAGGCGGGAAGGAAGCGGCAGGAACTGCACAATCACTGTCTCCATGCAGGTGGTCGATTTTGTCACTACTTTTTAGGAATGGAGATGAATAGAGAGAGCCGGATGGTCTAATCTCAGCCATAATTGAAATTTCAGGCGCACACACTTAAAGGCAAACTTCCATGAATCAATAGCATATTGATTTACACTACATTTATTTTCCCTTACACACTGCAGAAAATGTAATTATCGCTTAATTATAAAATTGCCATGTTACAATAACACATCTGACTGCCTCAGCCTGAAGCCGGGAGCCTGAATGGTGGTCTCTGCCTTGCTGTCCTAGCAGAGGTGACCAGGCTCTCAATTCAAGCTCCTCCATGGAAAAATCTCATTAAACTTCTGTGCCTCTGGGGCCCATTGCCTTGACAGTATGCTTGCACTTTAAAGAGCAGGCTGAGGAAGAGGCCCATGAACCCTAGGACTCGATTCTATGACACATCAGCGCCGCAGACGTGGATAGCATTAATTAAACCAGCAGAAAGTCATCATGGGCCAACTCTGTGCCAAGACATGTGGATCATCTTGATGATATAATGGAAAGCAATGCACAATGCCAGCCCCATTGCCCCCTGAGCTCAACTGGCACTTGAAAATCCAAAGAGGGTTAGCAACAAACACACAGTAGCTACACAGGGTGCTGAATGCTGAGACTGAAGTGTCTGGGGAACTATGGGTGCTCGAGGGAGGGTTCCTGCTCCAGATGTAGGGCAGCGGGTGCAGGAGGCCAGGCAGAGCCTCTCAAAGGAAGTGCCTTCTAGGAGGAAAGAGTAAGAATGAATGAGTGGGTGACAGAGCTGAGAGAAGCACAGTGTTCTAGATGGAGGGGACACCATAATGACATCCAGAGGTGGCGTGAGGTGCATCTTTCAGGAAGTAAAGACCTGCAAGACCTGGAACATGAGATTCAATGGTGAGGGCAGGGGTGGGGTGAGCGAGTGCCAGGACAAGCTGGAGAAGAAGGCAGAGGCCGAGGTTTTCTTTAAGGAGATGCAACTTCACTCTCTCTTGACAATAATGGAACCATGGATGCATTTGAAGCAGGGAAATGACATAATCCAGTTTGCACATCAGAGATCATTTTGATGGCAGTGTAGTGAAGGCCTGGGTAGGATTGGGTTTAGGGCAGTCACCTGGGGGCTAAGAGGGAGAAGAGGGTTCCTGAAACTAGGAACGCAGAAGTAGGGGAGGAAATGAGCGGAGGCTGAGAGAGAGAGGGATTCACGGGAGGAGTCAGGGAGGGAAAGTACTTTCTGACTGTTTGGAGGTGATGTAGTGAGAGAGACTTCTTAGGAAGTCTGTCTTGAGTTCAGGAAAGAGGAGCAAACAGGGTGTTTGGAAGCCCTCGGCATGACCAAGGCAGAGGACTTTCATGACCTGAGCCCCATCCCTAGGTAGAATGATACTCTACTTGTCCCCAAGAATTAGCAGTGGCCATACAAGGAACCCCCACCAGACCACGAGCGGTCAACCTAAAATCTGGGACCTGCCACACTGATTTGTCTCTCCATGTGCAGGTCCCAGGAATGGCAAGAAACCCAAGACCCACGGAAAAGGCAGTTATACCACAACAAGGACGATGGCGAGTTTTGGTATTTGCTCTTATTTTTTAAAAAATGATATTTTAAATCTTTATTGTTCAAGCTTTCAATCCCTACTCCTTTTTCTAAACTTTTATGAGGATGCAAATCAGCACTGCAGAGACTTCCTTAGAGAGATACTATTTCCTCTAGCAAAACAAACTTTGGGTGAAAAAATTGTGCCCCCTCTGGGTAAAAGAGTTGCCTTGGATTTTCCCAGACATTTTGATGATAAAAGAGAATGCTAGTGTCAAAGCTTTGAGAGAAAACAGTTTTTTGGAAACCAGGGGACATGGTTGACATGTGCATGTCTTCACTGCCATCTTGATGAGACTCTAACTCTGCAGTCTTCATTGGAGTGAATTTATAAAGAGTGACAGGAAGCTCGGCTCCCAGCCTGACTCGGATGGGACGTTACTTTCATCACCCAGAAGTCACACAAGACTAGTTGTTTAAAAAAGAAACGTTCATCTGTATGCATGCATCTTAGGAGGAGGTAGACATTTCTCTGTAAAATTGTCTCGTTTACTTACCATCATATGTAAATGAAATTAAAATGTGTGTGCAAAGGATCCCAAGTCTAAGGTACTAAGAATTCGAGAACCAAACAGAAATTAGAAGGAAAACTATTTGCCCGTATCTCTGCTTTCATCACAGTAGGGTTTTAGGAACACACTTTGTTTTTATAAAGATCTGAACAATAGATCTGGCCACAGGGCTTAGAGAAGGGGCAGCATCAGGTCTCGGAAAGGCGAGGGGCTGGCTACTGTCCCACTGGCTATGAGAGGGCTCACAGATTCCTGGCACAGGAAAATGGAATAGGATAAACCCCCTGCCAGTGATGCACGAAATCCAGAATTGTCCTTTCCACCATTGAAAAGGGAAGGATCGAGAAAGCAGAAATTTGCTTGATTCAGAATGAACCAGAGTCATGCCCTGATCTTTGGATAGGTCCGTTGATGAAGAAGTTAGCTGACACTGGAAAGGTACCATGACATGATGGGACACACCCATCACCATCTGGGACACAATTAGTGGTCCTTTGGTGACTTGTGTCTGTGTGTGTGTTTTCAACAGGATGTCATGTCAAGATTTCCAGGAGAACTTCGTCTCCTTGTTCATATGTAACCAAATCCCCATCACTTTGGACCACGGCCTCAGGCCCCATGAAAGATGGAGCCAAATAATATTTAAGAACCAAGTGGTCCCAGGAAACAGCACAGGTAGGCATAACTTTGGTGACCATTCTGCCAGACCACAAGCTGCAGTGGCCTCCCTGGTCCTTAATAAATATCCAGGGTGGTGGGAGGGGTGTGGAAAGACCACCAGTCCAAGGTCAGCTTATAGTTTACACCCCGGTCTTTGGTACACCCTAATTTTGTGATTCTGGGTAAAGCCTGATTCTCTGTCTTCATTCTCCCCACTTCTGGACTTAATAATCCCTGTCTGTCCCTCGAGTCCACAAAGTACCTCTCAGATGCCAGGGACAATCATCCTGCCCTGTGCTGCTGGGAGGCAGCTGTGTAGGCACATCTGAGCCCGTCAGAGGGCTCCTTGAAATGAATGTGTTGACTGTGTCCTCCAACATACCTCCTGTGTTCTCCTTGTGACACTGATGAATGAAAGTGCTCCCTGTGGAGCTGAACCTGAGTGTACTAACACATTGTTGATAAAAGAGACTGTAGAAACATACTTGTGTGTGCAAGTGCATGTATATATATATATATATATATACATATATATATACATATATATGTATATATATATACATATATATACATATATATACATATATGTATATATATACATATATATGTATATATACATTTATGTATGTCCATTTGCACTCAGACATATATATTCCTTCTCTCAACTACCTGCCTGTGGAGAATGGTTTGTTGAATGACTCCTGGACCCAAGGGTGTCTGTGGGAGATAACTCTAGTGACTCCCTTTGAATCCAAAACAATTACTGTGACTTTGAATATTTGGAGACTCATTCCCTTATATTGATATGTAAAAGGCTGGCGAGGGTATTTCCTTCTCTTTAATTGGCTCTGAGCATTGCAAATAAGCCTAGCCGAGGTGCTAATGTGCAAAGTCTTTAGATATCAGACAGTCCTGTTTCCTCGTATGGTGCTCGCCACAATACAGGATTGAACTGGCAAGATGTGAGAGCAAACAGCTCTGGGAATGTCAACAACTGGGTATGAGCCTCAAGATAAGAGGCTATGACTCTCCAGGGCACAAGAGTTTACATATCAGAAACCAAAGCGATAGCCCCCCCAAAACAATTCCACTGTTACCTTAATTGGGTTATGTAAATTGATCCTTCTGCATATCTTCATCTCTGCAAATTACAGAGATATCATTCTTGCACCTGGCCAGCCAGCTCAAGTTACTCAATAATCCCCGACATCCTCACTATCACCCATCCCTGAGCCACCCGCCTTGCTTCACAAGATAATAAATGCTGGGAGAGGCCTAGAATCGAGGCCTTTGTCCACACATCCTCACAAGGATTGGACTTAGGACCCCTTGGCTGCCCTTTGTGTCTTTACTCTCGCTGTGGATTGCACTGGTGGTGGTAGATTGGAACTGACCAGCTGGGATTCCAATATTGTCTCAATGGGATTACAAATATACATTTTTGGATTGTGAGGAAGACTAGAAAGAGGATTATAATACTTGGATGACTGAACTCGATATTTGAGTTTACAATAGGTGTTCCTCTTTTTCACCTCCAGGCTCTCATGATTACTCTGCTACTCTGAGAGCCTGGTCACCAGGAAGCCACAGGCAGGCAGAGAAACTGTCAAATCACTCAGAATGATGCATCTCTGGAGCTGTGCCGGTCTGACTATATAGCCTGAATATGATGCATATTAATGAACTAATCACAATTATGCATTGGGGTCATTTTTAGTATTACCTTACAAGGAAGAGAAGGGTGGAAGCCAGCAACCGAGTGCCTGCTAAGTGCATTGTAATGCATGGTCTTATCCAGTCCTCACAGTCCCCTGTGTCTTTCCAATCCCTTTCAGGGCTTCCCAGTGTGACTCAAACCTTCTAAGCGTGTGTCCATTTATCTCTATCCTGACTTACTCCTTTATGAGTTTGAATCTGATGGTTCTCACATGAGTTCTTTGTCTCTTTCTCTGCTTCAACCAGTGGGCTATGGTGGAGGAGCATTGCAGATGACTCTCTCTGCCTGTATCTTCACTGGTCCTTGAGCAACCAGTAAAATTCAAGCCTCTGTTGGTTGCCACATGGGCATTAGTCATGTACACCTGGGGGCCCTGGAACCCCATTGTCTTAGTTGCTTTTTACTGGTCGCTGAGACAAAATACCTGATGCCCAAAGTTGGAAAAGGAGAGGTTTATTTCTTACAGCTTTTTGGAGGTTCAGTCCATACTCAGTTGGCTCCAAGGCAGGGTGGCATGGCGAGGCCACAGTTCATGGCAGCTGCAAACAGCAAGGCAGAAACCAGCAAGAGAGCAAGACACACCTTCTTCCTGCCATTGTATTGTATGCTGGCCCACCTCTATGTGGGTGTAGCACTGACATCATCAATCCAAGCTCTAGACAATGAACCAATCACCAATGCATAATGCAAATGCATGAGGCCTGGGGGCCACAGACATAAACCATGACATCCACTCATTATTAAAATAGCCCTTGACTTTACAGACTGTTATGGTTTAGATCTAAAATACCCCCAGAAGTCCCATGTGTTGGGCATATGATTGAATCGTGGGGGTATTGTTCTCGTCAGTGGGTTCATCCATTGATGACTTCAGAAGCTGAGGGTGCTGTTAGGAGATGGAGCCTGATTAGAGGTGATGGGGCCACGGCCTGAGAAAGTGAATTCTTACTCCCAGCTCCTCCTCTGCTTTCTGGCTGCTATGGATTGCACCCCTTTTTCTCTGCCATGCCTCTCTGCTATCTTGTTTCTGCCTTGGAGCCAGCCAACTGTGGACTAAAACCATGACCCCAAATAAACTCTTTTCCTTTAAGTTGTGGGTGTTAGATATTGCATAGCAACTGTAGAAAAATATCTAGAGCTCAGTTTACAAGACATTTTCACCAAGTAGAGTCTATATTCCTCTTTCTGTTTATAAGAGAGAGAATGCAAAAGACTTGTACCACAACTAGTGACTGTGAGGCAGGTACTCAGGTCTTAGGTCTCCAAATCCAGAGGCAGTAACAGCCCCACGGGGCTCTCCCAACTGGACAACCCCAGTCATGAGCTTCTCTCATATAGGAAATCCCAGAAGGAATGCTCAGTACTTCTTCAGTGTGGGAGAGTCCCAGGGAGGCAACAACGTTGTCGTGTCCTTCACTGTCATGCCACAAAGCTTGAAGGCAGAAGAGCAAGGATTTCCCTTGAGCTTCCAGGTGTTTAAGGTAAGGCTGCCTGCCTTGGGACTCCTCATTAAGGGACATTCATGCACACTTGGGCTGGGGAGAGCGGTCAGCCAGGCAGGGACATTCTAAGGTACCAGAGCTTGGAGATAAAGCCCAAAGGGTTGGTAGTATTCATCTGTCCAACTCCAAATTTACAAGAAAAATCTAAAGCTGGAAAGGAGATGTCAACAAAGAGACACAGCTCCTGCCTCTGTCACTTGTCATCTTGTCTGCAAAGGCTGCAGAATCTGATGCCTGTGCCTGGAAAAGGAGCCTGGTCCAGGACCAGCTGTTTTAACTATACAGATTCTTGGGCCTGACAGAATCAGAAGTTGAAAGGACAGAACCTGAAAGTCTGCATTTTAACAGGCTCCTGGGGGCTGATTATGAATGCTTGGGGTTGAACTTGGGGCAGACATTTAGGCTTTTAAAAAAAGCCAACTACTATAAACCTGAGAGCCGTGCTGAGACACCTAGTCTGTCCCACCCAAAAAATGAACAGGTCAAGCACCAGACATCTCTTCTAAGAACATCTCAGCCAACTATTCTTTTTCTTGATGTGAGAAAGAGAAATTCTGGGATGGTCTGGGGCCTACAGACCTGGGAAAAATTCACATCATTATCCTTTAGCCTGGGGTCTCTAAGTTGATATCACAGCAGAATGCATTAACTGATTCGCTCTGAGTTTACAGTTTCAAAGCCATGGCAAGATTGTAATTGTACCCATTTTAAAAACATACCAAGCCTGTTTCTCTCCTTCTCACTTGAGATGCAGGCTTCCTAAGCTTCCCATTTACCTCAGGAGTGCTTTGATCCAAGACCTTCTCGGGATCCCTGGAGATCCCAGAAGATCTTGCAAGATTCTCGTTGAGTTAAACACCAAAAAACTATCTAGACTTTGACAACTCAAAAGTTACATGGGCTTCTTTTGCAGTTCAGCTGAGAAACAGGCTCTGTCTGTGCCAGCAGCCAGGCTCTTGTGAGTCCCTGGGGCTCAGTACACAGTGCTCAACCAGCTGAAATGGGGTTTCAGCCCTAGTGTTCTGGGGGCCCTACCTTATTGTAAACCAAATGCTGTTTGCATATAAATAGGTAGAGCTCGTTCAGAATAGTTCAGGAAGTCTGCTTATGTGGTGGGCCCAGTGGAAAAGAACTAGATCCCACATCAGCTGGGGAAGACAGCACCTGGTGGTGGGGACGGGAGGAAGCAACACAGGTCACCCTATTTCCCTCTGCTACCTAACCTCTGTTTCCACACTCACAAAACAGCATGTCTGCATGCAGAAATAGCATGAATATCCTGCACTGTCCATGCAAGGTGCTTTGCAAACGGTTGAGGGGTTTAAAGATGAAATAGCATCCTCTGTGCTTCTTTATATCATATGGAAAAGCTATTTCCTCTTCCTGCACACATACATTCTTGCAAGCATCAGAGGACCTAAAACAAATCCCCAGTATAATTACAGTCTGAGGGGATGATTGAAGGTCTCAACATGGGAAATTTCCACTGGACTGAGGTTCTGTCTTATCTCCAGCCCCGGCTCTGTCTCCCTGTCCTCACCACTGTGGACAGGAACCACGTCTTGCTGAGGGACAGAGGGCACCTCCCTTCTCCTACAGCTTCTTTCCTCTTTGAGTTCCTTCCTCTTCTGCAACCCTAAGGTAGCAGGGCTCCTTCTTCACAATTCTGCCCTGGGTGTGAATTTTCCTTCCCCTCACTCTGTGCCAGGGAATGAGGGTGACCACACAAGAGGAAGGGACCACACACAAGGTCCCAAGCCAGGTGACGAGCACCTGCTCAACTCTGAGTTGTTATGGGTGTGGCTTCGTGACCCAACTCTCTTCCTCTGCCCCACAGGTTGATTCTCAGGTATGGCTTTTCACCTTCTGCTGCTGCCTTTTGGTTCCATATCAAGACTCTTCCAACACTGGGAGATCCATATCCTCAGGCTGCAAATGCAGTCCTGCTAGGTCTTTGGTCATATACAGTATTAGCATCTGCAGCAGGTCAACAAAGCCCGAAAACATTTAGGCTAAAGGTTAGGACTTTTGGGGACTCTCCTGTGTAACATTTAAGAGGGGCTGCATTCCTCAAGCATTTGGCCCCTGCCCAGAAGACTGATGAATCTGGTTCCTGTGTCTATACAGTGAGAGCAGCACTGAGGGGCCTTCGGCTGCTGGAGTGAGCCTTCAAATCCACACTCAGCTTCAGGGCACGTCCTCTGGATCTGCTGACAAGCAAATTGCCACTGCTCCTCAACAGATAACCTGGCCCAGTATTGCTGCAACTTAAATCTGTGCCATCTTGTCTGGGCTCCTGACCCTGCAGAACATGTTTGCCCTGTGGGGGTGCGAAGACAGATGGAATTCAGTCCTCACAGCTTTCATCTGTCACTGCCTTGGGCTCTGGATTGGAGTCCAGCCGTGTCCCTACCCCCTGGAGAGACCTCTCTGCCACAGGCTGGAGGGGAGCAAGGTGTGACCACAGGCCCTCCAGCCTTCCAAGGAGCCTCACAGGTGGACCAAGGCAGGAAAGGAATATCAGAGCAGAAAAGACTGTGAAGTCCAGGCAGAGCTGGGAGAAAAGCAGGCATGGGTGTGGAACTTCAGGAAGAGCTGTGAGGGAAGAGATCAGGTGCCAGGACTGGACTGGCAATCCAGTTTCTAGACCTGGAGGCCAGGATGGGGATGGGACCCAGGCAAAGGCAGGAGCCCCTTTCCCTAGGATGATAATCAGCTCCGTGCCCAAGCAGCTCTGTCTATCTTGAAAGAGACTCCTGGGAGTGCAGGATCAAGACATTGCACCATCTTCTGCCACACACACACACACACACACACACACACACACACACACAAGCTTCTCACCACCACTGGACAAGCATGTTCTGCAAGGTCAGGAGCCCAGGCAAGATGGCGAGGGTCTCATAGAGAGAGGCAAGCAGGACAGGGCTGTTCTCAGCTCCTTGATTGTGGGAAGCTGCTGCATGCAGTCATAGCCAGAGCCACAGGACACAGCTGAGTCTTTGAATGGGAGCTGGTCCCATTATTGCTTCTGTCAAAAGGGCTCAACACATCCAGGTCCCAAACCGTTCTCATCAGTAGAAAGCTCTGAAGGTTGCAGCCAGCACTCCGCCATATGCCTGGGGCTGCGTCCTATCTCCTGACTCACCTGGAGCCCAGCCCTGGCCCTGCCCTCTAGAAAAGATTCTCCCCTTTTTCCATTTTTTTCTCCCACGGCAGGGCTCATAAATAATCATTTCATGCTGTGTAACCATTCTAAATGAAATCCTCACATTCCACTGTAGCGAGGGGAAATTTGTTTAGTAAGGGGTTTTTATTATGTAATATATATGTGACATCTTGTAATAGGAACTGCATTATATTTATTGTTTTATCTCTAAGAAAATATTGAAATAAAAGGGAAATGATCAGGGGCTATTATTTTCCAATGAGAAAGAATCTCGGGGCTTTCTTGGAGAGACGAAACAGAGACAGTAGGAAGAATTCAACCCCACAGTGCTATGGCAGCCCAGAGTACTCAACTACAGGTGCACAGGGGGCTTTAGGGCACCCAAAAGAAAGTCAGTGTTGGAACAATGTCTCTAGTTCCCATGGAGATCTTAACATAGAAGTAGAGAGGGAGAAAAAAAACAGAAACCCAGGATGTTGTTAGACTTAATAAGATGGAATTGCTAGTTACATTTCTTTGCCTTCATTGTAGAGTCTAAGGTTTAGATGAATTGAGTCTAAATTCTGCTGGGTTTTGTGGGAATTCAGGAAAGCACTGTATCCCTTCGCAGGTCTGACCTGGTTTCCTGCTGGGCCTGAAAGGTGGTGGGTCTCTCCTGGAGCCTGGGACCATGCACAGAGGGGGCTTTCCTATAATAATCATGTTTCTTCTAGTTTCAGAAATTCCAGGAGAGATTGCCGCCTACATTTTTCTCTCCATTTAGAAATGCTGCCCAGGTCATAGAGTATGAAACCAAGCACAACTTCACGAAGTCTTTCCAGCTCAACCCTGGGACCTATGTCGTGGTCCCCTCAGCACGGAGAAAAGAAGCTAAGTTCTTGCTTCGGATCTTCCTGAAAATGACAGCCAGTAACAGGTACAGAATCTCTGAGATGGCACCTGTTTTATTCTACTTAATTTGGTAAATGGGCGTCATGTTGCTGTGTGCCATGTTCTGGGCACATTAGATGTAGCATGTACTGTGTCAGTGGGGCACCGTATGGACAAAAAAGGTGTATCAGCCACTAACTGGACCCAAAAGGATGTGGTCATTGCTAGATGCAAAGCTGCATGGGAGGAGGAGCAGAAGGAGCCACTCCTGGCCAGAAGAAAATGGCGCTGGAGTTGGTCCTTAAAAGAAAATGGAAAATAATGGCATAAAGAGAAAAGCCATGCATGCAACTGGAAGAAAAAAGTCTTTGCAGAAGCAGGGAAGTGGGTGAGCCAGGCCTTGTTAGAGAGGAAGTGACACTGACCACATGCAAAGGCCAGTGACCTACAACGTGCCTGTCAGTTTGTCTGAAGTGTGGGATTGGGGAACTGTGAAAAGTGGGCCTGAAAGATACAGCACCCATGTCCATTCCTGAAGGATCTCAAATGCCTGGTCAATGGGTCAAGTCGGAGATCCACAAATCCTCACCTCCCTGGGCATCTTATATGCTTTGGCACTGAGACGGACATTCCCCTAATTGTAGGGAACTTTCCAGTGAGTGTGAGGGAGGCCTTCTCAGGCCAGCAGGCTAGGTGACCTGGAGATGGAAATAAGCAATACTTATCCAGTCCTGGCCATGGGAGCTGCTGTCCATGAGCTTCTCATTAGGAAAGTGGTGATTCACTAGGATCAGACCATGGCCACTCAAAAGGCTGGTCTGCCTGCTGACCGCCCACTTCATGTCCTCTGATGCTGAGGGCCCTCCAGGAGCCCTTGTCAGAAATTTCAGGTGCCTTCTGGAAACCCCCCATATTAGTCTCTTCTCAAAGTGAGGAGGTCATCTTTGACACACTGTCCCCCTGGTTTTCTAGGAACTCAGACAGCAATTTCAACCTCAGAGCTCTGAAGGTAGGTATGGAGGAAGGCGTGGCTGACAGACGTGGAAGTCAGTTTGCTGTGACGAGTTTCCTTGACCACACCCCATCCTCAGCAGCTTCCCGTGGCCCCCCACAGATCAGTGGAAATGGAGAGAACAGGAATGGGGTGTGAAAGGGAGCATCAGGTCTCCAAGGTCAGGCTGGGCCCACACATCATTTTGCCACAAACTTTGGTTTTCTAATTCTCTGAGTTTTTTTTTTTCCAATTCTTAATTTTTTCTAATCTTTGTCACAGATTTAGGTGGGAGTTGTTGGGCCCTTGTTGTACTGGGCAGGAAAGTTTCTCCCCAGAAGTTTAATGTTGGCTATTTTCCCTTTGACCCAGGAAAATCTTGCAGAAGACTCTGAACAAAACGTTTTCTACAGATACGTGTCACAGGTGTGGTACCATGCACGGAGGGCTGCATAGAGTGGGAGATGGAGGGTCAGGGAGGGAGAGAGCTCTCCAGGTCCTTGTCAGGATGCAGAGAGGAAAAGTGAATTGGTAGGTCATTTTTATCAGCTTCTCCCTCTCCCTGAACCACTCCAGAACCTCTCTGGCTGCCAGACTCTGGAGAGAAGTCGTGGCCCCGCTGGGTGACATCTCAATGGCACAGAGCTTAAAAAGGGAAAGAATAATTACAAGGAGCATGCAGGGGCTATGCTACCGTTCACGTCTTTAAATGAGCCATTGGAAGTAGCCTTTGAAATGCTTCCCTCTCCAGCTCTGCCACCTCCGCCCCGAGCTGGCATCGCTCCTTCCCGGAGCTGGCCAGCTTCAGAAAGCACAACAGCACACTTTCTACCACCTATGTGCATTCAGGATGTTCCTAATGCTTTAATAAACTGCTATAAAGAGCTCCTTGACTTGTCAGGATAAAATAGCTGCCAAGGGCTCCGCATGGCAGGCCTTTGGCCATTAATAATCACACTGGTGTGGGAAGCGGAAAGTGATACAGATGATTGTGTGTACCACACCAGCCTGGGCCAGGCAGAGGCCAAGGGCAGGAAGGATGCCAGGCCCTGCCTTGGCATTCAGAGGACTAATGGGGTGTCAGTGTCCTGGAGGCATGCTGGGTTCAGAGCGAGAAAAAAAGAAGAAATCAGAGTATGGCTGGAATGAGGGATACGCTTGACAGAAAGCAATTGGCTATGGACCTCATTGGAATTGGCACTGCCTGAGGAGTCAGGCTCCCCCGGGTCACTCTGAAGGCTTCACTGGCTGCCCAACAATGCTGCAGGGATGGTTGATGTCCTCAGTATGTGAGTTCTCTCAGGTAGGGTGGCCATTGTGTGCCTTCCTTCCCCCCAGTACGGATCACAGTCCTTGGCCCAGAGTAGGTTCTCGATCATTTGACAAATTGAATTAAAACAGATTAGCTGCCCAGAACAGATGTGCAGACTAAGGCTAGCTAGCCAGAGGTAGTTAGCAGTGCCTGCGTAGAGTGCCTTATACCAAGCTTCTTCGGGGCCATGCAGTTGCACTTCCAAACTAAAAATGTAATTTGTCCAATGATAAGAAGGTACAGATTCACAGCCAGGACTTTCCCAAAAAACAGCCTAATGCCCACTCAGAGAGGAGCGTCATATGGGTCTTGGCAGGAGTTAGAATAAGCCACAGATACAGCATTAGTCAAAGGTCACCTCCAGACCGGGCACTCTTGAACAGGGTCCAGCTGGTGTCCTTCTGTATAATCTGCCAGCTCTCCTCAGAGGCTGTATCTTCCAAAGAAATTTTAAAGTGAAATAGGACTCCATGAACTCACTGTCCTCTCTCCTGATCTGTGATATCAGTTTAGATTTAAATTAATGCAGTGACTTATCACCACCACTCTTTATTTTCATTAGCCTTGGTGGTGGTGACAGTACTATATCAAGGTCTGCCTTTGGGAAAGGAAGAACATACTTGAACTCTGGGCTGGGTCAAACCCATCCACTACCCACTGTTTATTCATTTGGCAAGCATGTCCCAAGCACCTGCAATATTCCATGGGTCACACTGTTTGGGGAATACCAGAGTGCTAGCCCTTGGGTCTCTCACGCCACAGAAATAGAGACAAACATGCAGCTCTTTGGAAATCTGTTCAAACACCCATAATCTCCATTCCTGCCTTCAGCTTCTTAAATACTTTCGGTGGGTTGCAGAGTATGGTTCCGGGTCAGAGTGCATCCTGGGTCTTCTCAAATACTTCCGGTGAGTTTCAGGGTATGCTTCCGGGTCAGAGTGCATCCTAGGCAGGGAATGCGGAAAGGCAGCAGCCATGTTCCATGGCCTGTGCTATCGCAGCCTAGTGGGCAATTCCAGATTAGCTGGAATTTCTCATTAGTGTGTCAGCTGCTGTTCAAAGTGAGGCATAAGGATTCACTTGCAGAGAAACTCAGGCAGGGTTGGGCACGCATGCCATCTTCCCTGCAATACACAAACAGGAAGATGTTGGAAGGGCTACCCGAGGAGCAACTTCAGACACTTGCAGGACATCTTCTTAGGTCATCCTGGGGAGGGAGAAGGGCCTCTGGGAGATGCTCCACCAGAGATATCTTCTTGCCCTTGACCCAGTGTCACTCTCAAAGCCACCTCTGAGAAAACTCACTCCAGAGCCACTTCTCCAAGAAAACACTTCCTCAGAGGAGAACAGCTTTGCTTCTCAGTAAAACTGTCACCAGGGCACTGCCCATCATGCTGTTCAGTGCCCCAGGAAAAAGTCTAATGATGTTAACTTCTCCAGAGTGCAAGTCTCTTTCTCCTTAACTTCAGCTGCTTCCTGCTTTTAATCCAGGGAAACCATGACATCTCCCTTTTTTGCTTCAGTGACTGGGGAGATTAACACTAAGTAATATGCTCAGTTGCAGCAGCTCCTCTTAGCCTAGATTTGGGGTATTTTTAACTCTTATCATCACACATGTGTGCACGCACACACAGGCACACGCTCAGTCACATTTTCTCTTAGTTTCTTTCTGCAAATAGATGGAAAACGTACCTACAGGGGTATTGATTCGCCCAGCAGTACTACTTACCTGAGGGGTCCCTCATGCCAGGAATGGTGGGTAGGAAGCAGCTGTTTTCAGTCTAGTAATGGACAGAAGGGGAAAAGCAAGGGGGCCACACTGGTGGCAACTGTCAGGACTGAAGGGCACCATAGATGCTCAGGGGCAGAGTCATTTCCATAACCTGGAACAGCCAGGTCAGGCTCAGGGCCAAGGTGACACCGACACTTGGTGGACAGAGAATGCTTAGATGTCAGCATAAGATCTAAGCATAAGTAGGGCACATGTTCTGGCTCCATCTGACGTCCATGTTTCCCCTCATTTGGACCAGGGATTGGACATTGATGCCACCCAACTTCAAAGCCTTCTCAACAAGGAGTTCCTGATAGGTATGGTCAGCCTGAGCCATTGGCCCCGGCCTTATCTCCCTTTCCCCCTCCATCCCCCTGACGACTCAGCCCTTCCTGTCTGCCCTCTTCAGGACCTCCAGAGGACACTTTCTCCTTGGATGAGTGCCGCAGTATTGTGGCTCTGATGGATGTATCCTTTTCATTTCATTTTTTATCTAACCCCAGGAGCCCGTCCACTTCGTGGCCTTCCCAGGATCATGAGAGACCTGGGGTTCTGTGTGTTCTCCACTGGCTCTTCAGATCAGTCGGCAGTGGTAGCAAACCTGACCACCAATCAAGCGTTTGCAAATTGTACTGGTGAATATATATATATATATCCCTTATAAGTCTTGCAACAATCTAGGTAATATAAGTAGTACCCCACTGCAAAATGTAAGAACAGGGGTTCAGGGAGTTTCAGTAATGTACTCAGATCACACAGCTAGCCAAGACTTGTGTCCTGGTTTGAAGTAGGAATTTCACCTTCGAGTCTACGTCCTAACCTGTTGTATGCCTCCTCCTCTGAGCTCTGATGAGTACCGCTTCCCTATTTCCTTACCACTGGAGGCATCTTTGCTACTTAAATTCCTTCCTCAGTGAGCCCTAGTTTAATAGAGGTAACCCCCAAACATGCAGAAGACTCCTGGTCTACACAGCAATTGAATCCATTGCTGCTAATGTGCTGCGTTTGCAGACACGGACCCTGGGTTGCAGCAGGGCAGGGACTGTGAGTGGCAAATCAAGCATCAGATCCCAGCCTGCTGCCTCCTATCCCCCTTTTGCTCACTGTGGAGCAATTTCTCCCTTGCCTGCACCATCTCCCCACAGCAAGGAGAGGCTCCCGCACACAGACAGGGCCTCCCCCAGCTGTGGCTGTCTCCGAGAGAGACAGATCACCCGGCTCCCACGCCGTTAACAAGACTCGATTGGGAATGCAAAGCTGGCCATTGTAGAACAAGAGAGCTTCTTGATGAAATCATAAATCAGGCCCTGTCTCCACTAGCTGAGCTTTGCAATCAGACACAGAGAAATCCAAATGGCCCTCACAGCACTGGGATGGGGCAGCTAGCCCAGGGCAGGCCACCCATGCGGAACCCTACAAAGTACACCAGGCCCTTCCTCCCTTCCCCCTGCTCTTCCATGGTTCCCTTCCCGTTCTCAGAGGCAAATTCTTTTTCTGCTTCCTAGCCATTAATATCCTCACCCTGTGGGGTGGCCGGGGCTGGCATCAATACACAGAAAGTGTTCCTTGCACACACATGTGCATCAGATTGGCACATTCACCCATCACTGCTGTGTCCAGATTTGCAAGACCCTTTGGATGCATCTCCCTGCTTCTGGCCAGTGTGCCACCCAGTTGGTGGAGGCCGTGTCACCCTGTCCTCTAGACACAAGTGGAATCAGCCTCCCTTCTCCAAGACTTCTTCCTCCTTGCCTGTTTTCCTCTGTAAAACAAATCAGGTCACTTGCAGGTACTGTGGGAGCGAGCTAGCACGGGGATGTGTATAGGTGACACCAGACTGCCTAGGAGACATTGGGCCAACTGCTTAGTAGTTGACAGATGGAGCTGCTCTGGCTTTTTTTGGCAAGACCAGCAGCTACTGCTCAAGGTACCCCAGTCTAGTTAACCCTTAACTCCTCATCTAGCTGAAGGTGAATGGGCGGCTCAACCAGGAGGAGTTTGCCAGGCTGTGGAGGCGTCTTGTCCAGTGCCAGGTAGGGACCTGTTCTCATCAACTAACTGTCTTATTTTATCCAGGTTAGCAAATACTTATGGGGCATCCAACCCCGAATCAGGATTGAGGGGTCTGAAAGGAGGGGAAGCGTCACCATGCTCCCAGAGATAACATTGTCTAGGGAGACCTGCTTGCAATAGAAGGCCAAGCATCAGGGTGGCCAGAGGAGAGACAGAAGTCACCATAGCTAGAACCGTAGGCTGGCAGTGTGGTCCTGTGCTCCTGGTTCCTTACGACTCAGCCTGCAGGGCCACCTCATTCTCATGCAATGCCTCTGCTGGAGCACCAGCCAAAGACACAGACACATCTGTGGCCCAAGTGTGGCCTCCTCACTGTCCTCAGGACAAAGTATAAACTCATCAGAGCAGCATGTAAGATGCTCTGATTCAGGTCCCTACTTTGAAGTCAAGGAGAAATCCTTTCTACGCATCCACCTTCCTCTGACCCCAACTGCAAGACACCTTCCTACTCCCTATAAATGCCATGCCCTCGCACCTTTCGTCTGCTCTTCCCTCTCCTGCCCTGCACACTGAGTCCTGCCAGTGTATATGCGCATTTAGTCTAACCTCAAACACTCTGCAGAGCCTGCCTTGCTGGCCTCTCTGACACAATTAGTGCCCCGCTGGCTCCTAACAGGTGGACCTACATCGATCAGCACAAACCCAGTCTCTACTGTCTTACTGCTTTACACTTCAAAATAACTTTTCCTTGCTAGAAAAGCAATGCCTATTCATAGATGATACAGATACACAAAAATAAGTTTAAAAGGAAAACATCCTTACCCAAAGAAAACTATCAACACCTACCGTAGTGAATGTTTCTCATAATTATTTCTGCAATATGTACACATACACTGAGTAAAACTAGAGCATGCTTTTGAAAAATAAGAAAGCACCAACATATAGAAGTCTGACCAAGACAGTAAATATCTACGGAATATTTAAAGGCCAAATGAAGAGCTCCTGTGTAGCTCTGTTGGAAGTCCTCGCATAGGTCAGGGATTCTGGTCACTTGGTTTCAGGCATGGCATTGAAATTATTGGCACATTTATCCCCCTTTAAACTGCAGTGTCCTCCAGGGAAGGGCCTCCTCACTTTCCCCAGTGTCCTCCATAGTGTGTACAATATGGCGGCATTCAAAAACGCCGACTAAATGACCAAACCAATCAGTTACAAAATGAATAGGAGAAGAGCCAGTAGAGAACACGAAAGCCCATGTAAGGCCAAGGAAAAGCTCTTAAATCACCATTGTGTGATCCCTGTCTTCCCCAGTCAGCCTCACCTGCTGTGGGGATGTCTGTCTTGGAAAACTAGTGGGCAGCAATGCAAAGACCAAAACCGGTCTTACGGTAACTGCACACTGAATCCAAGGCCAGGTCTCTTCCTGCCTGAGCATCAGTTTCCTCCTCTGGGAAGTAGAATGAGCAGGAATGCAGTGAGGATTAGCCACGGGTGGGAAAGTCGTTCGTAAATGTAAGCGTAGCAGCGTACGAAAGTGATGCACGAGGTAGTCCATCCTGCAGCTGCACATGGACCAGGTCAGTGCTCAATTGCTCTCAACACCTTCTACATAGCCTTCACTCCTATTCTTAAGTACCTTATAAATATTGGCCAGGAGAGATGAAGTAACTCACTTAAGAGTAGTTACACACAGGCTCCAGCTGTGGCCATTCCTGCCTGCCTCAGTCCTCTCTTCTGCCTCTGAGCTGGGTCCACTGGGGCTTCAGTGAGGCAAACTCCAGGCACGGAAAAGGAATTTCCAAGTCCACACCCTGCAGGTCTTCACAATGGCTTCTTCCTTCTTGTCCCATGCCAGCGTGTTTTCCAGACCATCCAGAAAAGCTCTCGAGTCTTCCTGAGCTCAGACTTAGGCAAGGCCATAAGGAATACAGGTAAGGCAGGGGACTTTGGAGTTGGGGGCCCTGGGGTCCAGGTGTGGGGAGAAGGTGCCCTCACTCCCAGCATGCTGTAGGACACCGGGTGGTCAGGCAAAAGAACAGCTTCTGCTCCCGCATCCCTCCCCTGCTCTACCACGACCTTGGTGGGTCTTCAGGGCTCCAGCCTCAGACATCATGCCCCTGATGGAGGCCTCCTGTGCCAGTTTTCCCAGCTGCTTTTTCTTCCCAGCATAGCTCTAGTTGTGAGAAAATAACTGCCTGGGATTAATCCCCTACTAGGAATGGAGCTCACCTTCCAGAAGCTTCCAGCTCAGGGTCTGGGCCATCAGAGTTAAATGCCCACAGGCAGGCTGATTTCGCTTCTCTCTCTTCACAAGGGATGTGGGAACAGAGGAAATCCAATGGTACCTGCCTGCTTCCAGTAGACAAAAGCATTCTGCCCTGGGCTTGATAACGATACCTTTGGGGATATCTGGGCTGTGAAGCTCCCTAAGATCCCTTGTCTGGGTCATTTTATGTGATTATCTTGACTACCCTGAGACCTGAGAAGGGCAGGACTCATTGCCTCCATGATATTTGGGGAAAGTGGATCATGAAAAGGTTAATGAAATGACCACTTTCCTTAATAAACTGTAAATCAGTCGTGCTGTCCCAGTTTAACTCCATAATTCTCTCTGCTGTGGCTCCTGGTCTGGGCAGGGGATAGAAATACAGAGCTCTGTCTCCACTTGAGCATAGATCCTCCTCTTAATTCTTCAGAATGCAGAGCTGCAGAGCTCACACCTGAAGGGCATCAGAGTCCCCGCTCAGGGCTGATGAAAGTACAGGAGGCTGAGCCTCTCTCTCTCTCTACCAAGAGGTCCAGGGGGGGCTGGAGAACTTTCCTGGCCCAGCAAGCACCCAAGTGGTGCTTTTGCCCCTGTCTGGGACACACCCGAGAGCACTGAAGACCAGTTAAAGAAAGAATCATTAAGGGAGCTCCCACTAAAGAGTTCAGAATAATAAAAAGAGAAAAAAAATAGTTCAACTCGGGGCTGGGGGTTTAGCTCAGCAGCATAAGCACCTGCCTTGAAAGCAGGCAGTCGTGAGTTCGATCCCTGGTACTGATAAAAAGGAAAAAGACAAAAAAAAAAAAAAAAAATAGTTCAACTCAAAAGGCTTCAGGGGCCAGGAGGCAACTTAACCATAAGTGAATGAGTGATTCGTGAAGTGGCAGCTGGGGACAGACAGTACGGCCTCTCTGAGGCCTTCTGAGATGGGAATGTGTGGCTTTAGGATCCCACAGGCCACTGGGCTCATTTCTTGATGGATGACTCAGCTTGAAAACTCACCAGAGTTTTTAAGGCCCAACCATGAACCAGTCTGCACTGTCCATGTGTGGTTGGTATCTCCTTAGAACTTTTAACTGGACTGCAAAGTGACAAGGCCAAAGAGGACAAGGTGACTTCTGCCCAGCTGAGGCCCCCTTCTGAGCACTGTTCTCCCAACCAGCCTTTTCCCTGAGAGACCAACATAGGACTGAATGTCACTGTCCCACACCTGCCCACCCTAGAAGCATCCATGCAGAAGGTACACAGAGTCCTAGGGTCAGAGAAAAAGGCGGTTTATAAAGTCACTCACAGAGAGAGGCCTGGCAGCCCCAGGTCTAGATGCAGCCCCAAGTCCTGCCAGCCCCCATCCATGCAGGATTATCTAGCCGGAAAGGCTGTTGTATCCCAGACACTCTGTCTTGTCTCTTGAGCCAGTCTCTGGCCAAGCTCCCAAACTATGTCACTAGGGTTCAGCCAGAGAAGATGGAAAGACCAAACAAGTCCTAAATGGCCACCAAACCAGCTGAACAGCAGTGGTGACAAGAGGTCACTGAGCACTCTGAACAAATTTCCCAAATCTCAAGAGACAGAGGGGCACCCTTCTTCCCCAGCCCCACCTCCTCCCTGTTTACCAGCTCACCCTGTGGCCAGACTTCCTTACAGGCATCTCCATCAGCAGTGAGCTGCTGGACCTCATGACCCTGCGGTACAGTGACAGCACTGGTCGGGTCAGCTTCCCCAGCTTGGTCTGCTTCCTGATACGACTGGAAACTATGGCAAGTAAGTGTCCCTGCGAGGGACCTGTCCCAGGCCAGGCCAAGCCTCAGGAGTGGATGGGCTGGTGTCCTGCCTGAGGTATCCGGGCTATAAGAGCACAGCACCAGCTGAGGCTGTGAGCTGAGAGTGTTCACTAAAATAAATAGCATCCCGGGCCTCCCTTTTGCCCTGTGCCCAGCCCAGAATCCCCCATTCCAGGTCTCTTGTTTCCTCTTTACTCTGTACGTTTTCCCTTAGGGACAAGCTTCATTTAAAGCACCCTGCCCTCTCCAGGTTGCTCATCAGTCACACAGGAGAGGATGTGGTTCTCTACAGAAGGGACATGAATGAGCGAGTGGGACAGGACAGTTTTCCTTGAGCTTTAAAAATCCAGCGATGGAGGCCAGAGTGTTTGACCCTTTTGAGCAGCAACATAGCCTTTGTTTTAAATGAAAATTTATGTGAAATCTCAGGCCATAGGGTAGCTAAAAATGGACCTACTGAGCATGAGTTAATGTGGGTGCCAGAAACACTTCTGAATCCTGGCTCCAGCCCTGCTATTCCCCTTTGTAAACTCCACATTTGTAAAGGGGGATTAATAAAAAAAAATCAGAGAACAGCGACAGGAGGGCCAAAAACAAACCTGAAGCACAAGCTCTGCCCCCCGGATGTTTTCAGAGGTCCTAGGCAGGTCCCTGAACTGTGCCTGTGGAAGGAAGACAAGCCTGCATATTTCCTGGCTGAGTGTGGAGGGATCCAAGTGGCAAGGAGTCTGTAAGGGGAGGGACCAGAGCAGCCACAGAGGGCTTGAGCCTGGAGGTGGCCCCACCATCTAGAACTTACCAGAAAGAGGAAGATGGAGGGTGGGCCCAGTCTAGGATGGTGACAGCCACCTTACACAGGGTCCCCTCAGCTGCTTCTGTGCTCTCATTGGCCCTGCCCTGCCGTGATCCCCTTCTCAGTCAGAGCAAACCTTTCTCTCTTAATCCTAGGGGCATTCCATAATCTCTCCAAGGACGGCAAAGGATTCTACGTGACAGAAATGGAGGTGAGGCACCTTCCCTTCCCAAACGCAGGCGCGGCCCCAGGGCTGCCTTTCCTGATCTGCTTCCAGGGGGTATTTTTCTCCTTGAGGGTATTGAACAGTCCATCAAAGGCCAGCCAAGTTGCTGGCCCCCCTGCCTCCAATTACTGCCTTTATATATTGCAGGCTGCCAGGCTGCTTTAGGATCTTGGCAGATAGATTTTATTTTTTTCCAATAGCTTAATAAAGCAGAGGATTATGTGGGAGTCGTAAATCCAAGAGGGAACTGAAGAACAGCCTGCTGAACTCACTGTACATTAAACTTGCTCCCACTGAATTTTAGAGTCTCCCAACTGGCCAGCTGGTCGACCTTCGATATACTTCTCACTGTCGGGCTCTTTGAGTTAATAACAGAAGATGCTGTAACAGCAGCAGGCTTAGACCTCTGCTTGGGTTAGAATTACCTGAAAATGGGTGATGAGACTGAACTGAAATCTTCTGAGGGAGGAGGGTGGCACTTGAACATCCCTATAGGAGGTAAACAAGCTTACAGTATCACTTTATTTCTTCAGTGGATGAACCTGGTCATGTATAACTGATACAGGAGCACAGCAGACCCCACAGACAAGGTATGATATGGTAGTTTGGAATTCTGTGTTCCTCTCATGACCTTTTCCCTTTTCCTCCAGAAACTATACATAAAATTCCCTGGATAATCTCAAGGGTTACAAAAGCCTCAAGGCTCGGCTACTTAGGAGCCTTGAATTTCAAGACCAGGGCTATAGATTTCATCCAGTCATGTGGACCAGGGAACTTTTATGAAAAATTGTGGCCTAAAAGTCATAAACAAGGGATTGAAATTTTTTCATCAACATCTCAAAAAGGAAAAGCAACCACTAATCACAGGCAAAGCAACAGAGATGTTGGAAATAAAGCAGTGTAAACAATAGAAAGTTAGGCGTACTTGGGGAGAATGCCCTACCATTGCTCACTATGTAGCTTTGGGGGGATCAGAGATACTTGTAGGCATCAGTGTTTCTAGGTCTAGCATGAGTGTGCTGAAGATTTAACTCCCGTGTCACATTTCCTCTAAGTTTATTGTCATGGAACAGACCATAGGTGCTATAGATAGCCAATGCATAGCACATGAGTTGTTTTTTCTTTTAAGAGGAAGGATATTAATGTATGAGTTTTTTTTTTTTTTTTTTTTTTTGGTCTTTTTCCTTTTTATCGGTACCAGGGATAGAACTCACGACTGCCTGCTTTCAAGCAGGCGCTTATGCTGCTGATCTAAATCCCCAGCCCCTATACGAGTTGCTTTATCTAAACTAAAACCTCAGTGTTCATATTTAATTGCAGTACTGGTGCTTTGCAGTAACTAAGTGGGTACTGGGTTGCTGTTGGGGCACTCATCTCTCAAAGGTGAGCCGTCATGGTCTGAGGGTTATACAGTTCACACCCCGCTTTTTTGTACCAGAAGCCCCAGTAGTTTCTCCAAGACTGAGGAGCTCAAGTGTTCCTCGCCAATGGGTGTTTCCAGGTGTTAAGTGTTCTTTATGTGGGAGCAGCAATCTGTTTCCCTGGAGATTTTCACCCCTGCTTCTAGTTCTACTCCCAGGACTGCTGTACAAAAAAACAAAAACAAAGCACTGGGCATGCTAGGCCTTGAAGTCATTGAGGATAACTTTGTTGTCTCCCCCAAAGCCATGGTTTAGTTAACACTGTGGATTCTCATCTCGGACCCCATGTTGTCCATTTCCTATGTGCTGATGTCCCTTTGAAAGACATTTCTCCATACAGCATCCTGTGATCCAAGCCCTCTGAAGCTATTATTTTTGTAAATAGTATGTATTTAATTCACCAGCCATGTACCTTGAAATCACAAGAGAAGTCCTATCTCCACAAAGAAATACTTTTTTAGCATAAATATTTCCACATGAACATTTCTGTTTCCTAAAGATCACAACTAATCAACTTACAAAGATCATGGTTAATTTGACTTGACTAGATTTTCTTGAATTCTCCTTTTACTCCTTTAAAAAGATAGATCGTCTCCAGTATTATTGTGCCTGTTTCAATCTGCATAATCTTTAATACCAAGAATGATTCAATTGTATCTTTAAGTTAATTTGGCACAGTGGGGTCTAAGCATTTGAACTTTAAAAAAAAAATCTTCTTCCTGGTCTTTTCTCCATTAGGGTCTCAATTCTGTCTTCACTAACTTCTCTATTCTATCTGTTTTGAAAATAATGTAAGAATGAAGTAGCAAATGTGTGGTTATGTCTCTTTCATTAATGTCTATCATCAACTCTAATAATGGCCCCTGCTGCATTCCTCACAGCCCCTGACATCACACTATTAAAGCGTATCTGTCCACCCTTGTCCATGAGCTGGTGTGCAGCCCTGGAGGAGGGAGCATGGAGGACCTCTTCCTCCAAGCCTGCAGATCCACCTTCCTCAGCAGCCACTTCCTCCCTTCCTCCTGTGACATTAGCAAGCATGTCCCTCCGAGGGTGTTCTGTATCGCATTACCATCTACCTTCACAAGAGCCCGATTGAATGAATTCTCTCCTCTGTCTTCTGAATACTAAGCCTGTCTGTCCTTGGAGTTTTCCAGTTCCCATTCAAGCACGCCTATCTTTCAGATTCCTCCCATCTCATACTCCCCGCCAGCCACTGCCGCATCTCTGTCCTCTGTTACAGCCCAACTTCCTACCCCAGTTCACTGTCTCCATCTCCTCACCTCCCGCTCTCCCTTCAAGCTCCTTTGATTTAGATTTCTTAGTGCATCATCTTTCTTCCTGATTCTCATACTGTTTCCCGTCTAATTTTTTACATCCATTCATAGCCCTCAAATCCATTACCTGCAAACCAAGTAAGTATTTGAAAGTTTAGGTGCATCCATGGCTTTCCCTGGGTTAAAAGCCTTCAGTGACTTCTGATTGCTTTTCACGACAACCTAGAAGCATTAAAATGGATCCGCAGAGCTGCATTCTCCGGCTCCTTCCCACCCCCCTAACCTACCTTATGCCTGACTACTTCCACCACGCCTGCCTGCGTTGTTTCTTTCTGTTGTCTGTTTCTCCTGGTTTCAGGTCTTTTTCTTTATTGACTGCTCTGCTTGGAGTGTTCCTTGCCAAACTTGGTCTTCCACATCTTCGCTCCATTTGAGCCCCCTGTGATGCCCTGATACACCACCCTTCCCCACTCAGTGCTCTATTTATTTTGTTCCCTATTTCTTCCATTTCTTAGAGATTTATTGAGATATATTTATCACTCATCATAAATACAGCTCCCCCCTTTAAATTATAGATTTCAGTGGTTTTTAGAGAAATCACTGTAACTATCACCACAGGATAATTTTAGAACATTTTTCATCAGTCCATAAAGAAGTCCTTTGGCCACTCAGCAGTCACAGCCACCACCCACCTTTAGTCTAGGAGTCTATTACTCTAGCATCTGAATCTATAGATTTCCAATTTCTGGGCATTACACATACATGGAATCATGAAATATGTTATCCATTTTGATTGGTTTCTTTCACTTTGCATTATGTTTTCAGGGCCCATCCATGCATTTACATGTTCTTTTTCAGGTGTGTGTTAATACATCATTTCTTTTCAGTGCCAAATAATATTTAGTTGCTATACCATATTTTATTCAACTGCTCATCCATTGGTAGGTGTTTAGCTTGTGTATTCTTTTAGACTATTGTTAGTAATATGGCTATAAATGTTCACGCGTAAATTTTTGGGTGAATATATGCCTTCACTTTACTTGGTTGTATATCTAGTAATGGAAATGTGAGATCTTAGTGTAATTCTACGTGTAGCATTTTGAAGCACTAATTGGTCTTGCAAAGCAGCACACCATAATCCTACCAGCAGTGAATCAAAAGGCTCCAGCTTCTCCACATCCTCACCAAAATGTCTTATTGTTACTACTCATCTCTATATTACAACCCAGAGGTTGTGAAGTGATATCTCACTGTGACTTTTATTCATATTTCTGATGACAAATGATGTTGATCATCTTTTCAGTGCTCAGAGATGACTCATATATCATTCAGTAACCATTTCTGTGGGGAAAAATTTACTCAAATCCTTTGCCCATCTTCAATTAGGTTATTTTTTCTGTTGTTATTCTAGTTACTAGTTCCTTACTGTGTATATAATTTAAACTTTTTCTCCCATTCCACAGGCTGACTGTTCAGTTTTTTGATGGTATCATTTGCAGAAAATGAGTTTTTAATTTTGATGAAGTCCAATTTATCTATTCCTTTTACCCTTTTAGGAGGTATAGCTAAAGAACTGTTACATAAGCCAAGGTCACAAATATTTACTGCCGCTTTTCTTCTAGAAGTTCTATAGTTTAACTATTTTGATGTAATTTTTTAAAAAATGTTTGATGTGGGAGTCTAATTTCATTCTTTTGCATGTGGATATCCAATTTTCCCACCATCACCTGTTCAAAAAAACCATTCTTTCTTCCATTATATTGTCTTAGCATCATTACAAAAGTCAACTTATCACAACAGAAGGATTTATAATGAGATTGTCAACACTGCTACTTTCATTTATATGTTGGTCCTCAGGCTGGTACCACACTGTGTCGATTACTATGGTTCTGTAGTAAAGTTAGAAGTTAGGAAATGTAAGTCTTTCATCTACAGTGCTCAAGATTATTTTGGCTACTCTGAGTTCCTTGAATTTACACATACATTTTAGGATCAATTTGTCAATTTTAGCAGGGAGAGCGGCAGCTGGAATTTGGATGAGAGAGAACATTCAATCTGCAGATTAATTCAGGGAAAACAGTTCTCTTCATACTATAAAGTTTTTGATGAATGAATGTGAGATGTCTTCCATTTTTTAATATCTTCTTTAATTTACCTTTAACATGTTTTCCTGTTTTCAATGCAGAAGCACACTACATTTTCTTTGTTAAATTTAGTCCTATGTGTTACGTTATTTTAGATGCTCTTGTAAGTGAAATTATTTCCTTAATTTTATTTTCAGATTGTTCATTGCTAGTGTAGAGAAAAATAAATTTGATTTTTGTATACTAACGGTGTACCCTGCAACCTTGCTAAATTTGCTTATTAGTCTAACCCTCTTTTAAGGGATTCCTCGGGCTTTTACATGATACAAAATCATGTCACCTGAAAATGGAGGAGTTTTATTTTCCCCTTTCTAATTTGCGTGCCATTTATTTCTTTTTCTTGCTTAATCATTCTAGTTAGAATTTCTAGTATGATATTGAGTAAGAGTGGGGAGAACCAACATCCTTGTATTCTTGATCTTGGCAGAAAATACCCAGTCTTTCAACATTAGGGATTTTAATGGAGATTTATCAGAGTTTGCGTAGATGTCATTTGTCAGAAAAGAAAGTTCCCTTCTGTTTGGAGTTGGCTGAGTTAACATATTTTTAATTATTTGCCTGATATCTGGGTTTACTGTTAGACTATAAGCCCAGGTATGTCTTCTGTGTTGCTATCCCCTTAGAGTAAAGCAAAATGCCTGGCACAGAGAAATCATTCAGCCACCATTCCCTAAATGACTGAAAGAAATTGTTCACTCGGGCTTCTGGCTTCCTCTGCCTTGTTCTCATCCCTACATTTATAAATATTGCCTTACACCCCAATTTCTTAGATTTCCTTTTTCCTCCCCAAAGAGTTACACTACCTTATTACCCTTAATATATCACAATCTATATTTTCTTATAAACTTCTTAGTTCCTCATTATTTTGAAATCTGTGTCCCTGTGTCCAGATTATATTTCGACTCTGCCCAGCTTCCCCTTCCTTTGTTACTTGAAAGTCAAGATTACTTTCCTCCAGGAATCTTATCCCTCCTGGGGCAGCAAAGATACTTGGAGTACTGACCAGCACTCAGTCTGGAAAAGAATGCCCCTTTCCACTCATCTGATCCTCAATACAAAAAAAGTATCATTAGAAGAAGGAAAGGTCGTTCCATATTTGCTAAGAGAGCTGCTCCCCAGAGGTAGGAGATGTTGGAACAGGTCACCAGTCTCCTTCGCTTCTGGGTCATTTTTTAAAAATCACGTGCAAGGAGCCTTCCCTTCACCCTTAGATTCACTGGTGAATTGGGTTCTACTGCTGTGCAGGTACTTGTTTCTCTCTGTTTCTGTATCATCTCCAAAGTCATTTGCTCTTCCTTGACTTAGTAGCTTAGGATAAAGGTGGGTATGGCCAAGCTGAATGCTTCCTCCCCAACCTTAACATCTGTTTCTTTTGAACAAAGAATGTGCCTCCATTGCCATACTAGGGTTAATGCTGGTGTTAAAATATCAACTTTATACTTTAAAAATGCTAGTAGTACACTGGGATATGTTCCCTGGAAATCTGAGGCTATATTGATCTTAATTGATTTCAGAGTCCAAAGGTTTAATATGTTGCAAATTATATCCTGCTGAGACTTTGTTTAGCTGATATCATCAATATCCACGTTGATTTACTGCCAATAGCGGCAGAAAGTGCCTCGTTTTAACAAAAACAGAATTTTCAAAAACTCCTTATTGCACAGAAATAGTGTCTCCAGGATAAATCTACCTTCTAATCTGTATTAAAGTGAAAATGGCCAGTGGTGTCCTTGACCCCACTGATTACCTTCAACAGATTTCTCCAGAGGGGATTGCTGCCATCCTAATCAATCTGTCTATTCCCATCCTTCAGACCAGAGAAATTCTTTTTAAGATACTCAGCTAGAGCTTGAATTGAAGATTGTACCACTAGGCACAAGAGACTCCAGGAAGTTTGCATCAAACTCTCCCCTGCAGTCTGAGAGGAGCTGGGAGTCTGAACTTGCCTCTGGCCCTGTGAAACCTGAAGACCTCACTAGGAAACACAGCTGTGGTTACCAGGCTCCTTATGAGGCCAGAGCACCCAGTCTGCTGGCGATTCCTTTTGTAAAGAATGTGTCCAATAAGGAAACCAGCGTGTGTACTTCCAGGGCATAAAACAAGAGGAAATAAGGCTTGGGATCTGGCAAGCAGGAGGACCAATGCTACATGCAGGCAAGGAAGTCCAAACCCCAGAGCTGTGCAACCGAGCAGGAAAGCACTGAGTCCCCAGGAGGGCAGAAGGCGTGAGCGGGGGACATGGAACCAGCAGCTTAGCAGATTCTCATTCACGGAACATAATACTCAGAGAGGTTTCAAATTCTGCTGGAGAGGCTTTAAAAGAATTATTAGGATAATGACAGGCTACACAGACAAAAAATAAATGAGGTAATTATTAACTCCTAGAAGAACAAAGAGTTACAGAAGAAAATGTAATCCAAGAGTATTTTTTCACCCCGCAGAGAACAATACATACATAATTGTACTAAAATAAAAATTGAATATTGATTTAACAAAAATGTGATCTAACTGTATTAAAAGAATAGAGAGAGAGAATTTAGAAACATGAAACTGGGTTAAGAGCACCCCAGCTTCATCATAACAAGTCCATAGGCATTTAAATTAACCAACCAAGGAATAAGAGTATTCTTTAGATGTGTGGAGAAAAGCACCAGAACAAAGATGGGGGAGCGGAATTAAGGAGGGGAATGGGCCGGGAGATGGTTCTCTTTGTTTCATGATTTGTGATACTATGTGAAATTTTAAGTTATGGATATTGGACTGAATTTTTTATTTAAAAATAAGCAAATGAGCCAATACGCTGAGAAACAAAGAGTTTAATGACTCGAGAGGGAAAATATAGGGAAGAGCTGAGACCTCTTTGCCCAGTAGACAGGGCAGCTGTCCAGCTAGAGTTGGAGAAGGAATACCTATGCGACAATGTTGCTTAGACCCCAGCCACATGCAGTCGAAAAAAGCCACTGCTCGGGCAGAAGTGCACGCTAGCAGACTAGAGAACAGAACTGCTGTTGTCCCTGCCCCACTTTTCCTGTCTGCCCAGGGGTGAGAGGCGCATCTGTGACTCGAGATGCTGTCCCTGCCACTATAGGTACTCAACAGTGCTTGGTAGTCTGTGGACTGGACTCAAGCTGTAGACAGGGCAGAGCAGATGGAAGGTGTCCTCCGAGGGATTTTGAAGATGGGGGAGCTTTCCTATCCATCGGGGTCCTTGGTGAGACGGAGTTGCTCCCCCTTGCATTAGGAGGTTTTGGGGTTCAGATGGTCCAGAACAGAGCTGCGGGAAGGAGGTGGTGGCTCATAAGAAGGCAAAGTTTCCTTACTCCTGGCCTTTGGCATGTGGGCTTTGTCTCTTCTCCAAGACCAGTTCCGGGGGTCACTGTAGAAGCTGCTTGATCCCAGGGCTCTGCTGCCCCCTGTGTGCTGTCCTGTATGACACTGAGTCAGAGCTTCCTTCCAGGAACCTGGGCCAGATGCTGCAAACCTGAGGCCATGTATTAGGTCCTGTGACCTCTTCATGACACTAACCTGGACTCCTAGAAAGTGAAGCAGGACATGTTCCACTGTGCAAAAGGAAGGGAGAAGCTGTCGCCAGCCCACCTTGGGTCCATTCCTTGGAAGAGCCACAACGATCCAGTTTGCCTGCCCGGGGGTGTGCTGCACGGCCCGGGATTGGCTCGTTCAGAGTCATTCGCCAAGGAGCCCTGCTTTCTAATGTCTGAGTACTTGTTGTTTTAACACTAACTGGCAAAATAAAACACATTTTCTATAACAGTCTCTGATCAGGAAAAGAATTTTAGCTGTGTCTCACAAATACATGTTAAGGAAGGGTTAAACTCCAGTCTGCAAAGCGGTCCTCAGGGGTCTCAAAAAGACAAATGTGGAGGGGATGTTCCAGAGGAGACCAGGTTAGATCTCACTCCAGAGAATTGGCAGTGCGTTCATCTCTGGAAATACCGCTGCAGTTAGGGGAAAGACTTGCAAAAGCTTAGGAAGGTGAGACCCTTCCTGAGTGGGACTTCATAGGCAGACACCATCAGAAAACGAGAGGCCGAGGCAGGGCTGCTCCATTGTGCACACACGGGTGCCAGAACGAGGTCAGCATTTGGAGGTGAATGCATCCTTTGATCAAGTAACAAACGCAATCGGCTAACCTGCAGTTGCGGAGCGTTCAGTTATTTGGGGTGCTGCAGTACCATCCTTAAAGAGTTGATTCCTTCTTCCAACTTAGGTTTTCATATGACTGGAGGGTCAAACACAGTAATGCTTGGAGGTGGTCATTCGCCTCCTATCCCCAGCTTGATGAGCCAGGAAAGATGGTCCTGGCTGAGAAGATGCTATTAGGAGGGCTGGGGCTTTAGCTCAGCGGCATAAGCACCTGCCTTGCAAGCAGGCAGTCGTGAGTTCGATCTCTGGTACCGATAAAAAAAAAAAAAAGATGCTATTAGGAATAAGACAGGGCTAATATATGAAGGTCTGCTGTCTTCACTGACAGACTGCCCTGTTACATGCAAAAACCTCAGACCAGCAGGTCAGCGGAGGTTCTGCTAAAAGGAAAATTCCAGAAGAGTGAATGAACCATGTCCTCTAGGACTCAGAAATGATATCTACTTGAAGTCCACATAGAAATTCCAGCATGCCCACACATTTTGCTGCCTTAACTCACGTCACCCCCAAACCCCTACCAGACCTGCTTGAGTCCTGGGAGACACCAATTTACAGGCCTATGATCAACCACGAGGAGCCCTAGAGATGAGATGGACTGTGCCTTTCTGTACTGACTCAATTGCAGTCCACAGAGATGCAGAGTTTTCTGCCTCATAGGCTTTGCTTAGGAGCCAGGCTTTGAACTAATGGATGAGTTTACTCAATGGATTAGCTAAAAAGCTGGCTCTTATAGCCACCCTGAGGCTCCAAGATTTCAAGGAGCTTCTGATGGCGGTGCCCGGGAGGCCTGGTTCCTCAGCTTGGAGGTGGAGGATACTAACCCTTACCCACCAGAGAAGGAAAATACCTTTGTCTTTAGACTTTAGAGCAAGCAGACCAGCCAGCATGTCCCTACCCTGTATCTTCTCAAGGTCCCTCACTCCCTCAGCCAAGGTCAGAAAGGCCCCAAAGTAAGGTGGATATGACCAGCTAGGACCTCAGACACCCAAGCCTCTTGCCTGTGGGTCCTGGAAATGTTGCGGTGTCTCTGTAGGATGAGGGGATGGGCAGGGACTACTCTGGCACCTGACAGTGGAAGAGGAGTCCTGGGAAGTCCTTGAGAAACAATTAACAAGGCTCAGACTCCTCAGGGCTTCAGCGGTCACAGCCAGATGGGGAGGGAATCAGAGTGTCAAGCTTCTCTGGTCCATTTTACAGAAGAGATCCCTGAGGCCCTGCAAGCAGGGGCCACACTGTTATAAGCAGCAGATACTCGACTGAAAGCCCAGCCCCACTCCCTAAGAGCTGGGGTCACTCAAGAAGGGTGGCCATCTGAAAGCAAACACACACCAGAAGGTACAAGGAGAGCTGAGTCCCAGAGAGCAGCTCGGCCCGCCTTCCTAGTGTTCATGGAGCAGGGGTGACGGCACTCTCCTTCTCTAAGCGGAAACGAGCCCCCTTCACCCCGCTTGGTGTCCAGTACCTTGGGGCCCTGGGGAGACAGAGGGCTCGTCACGAATGTGCTCTCCTGCCCTCTTCACCTCCTTTCTCACCAGCCGCCCTGACCCGCTGAGACAGAATCCGTGAAGCTTCAGATTCAGGCAACTGAATTCACCAGGGCTTTTTCCAAATTTAAAATGTTCCAGCTGCCCAATTAACCAAGATGCTGTAATGTATGCCAAATGAAGCATTTAAAATTTTTAGTTCTGTTTAATAACGAATTACGAAGCCAGGCGTGATGGCACAAGCCTGTAATCCTTGCACTTGGGAGGCAAATTAAGAATGGCCATGACTTTGAGGCCAGCCTGGGCTCCGTAGTGAGTTCAAGACCAGCCTGAACTGCATCGTGAGGCCCTATCTCAAAAAACAAACAAACAAACAAAAAATTAGGAGCAGGGGCTGAGAATAAGAAAGAGAAAGAGTGTGGGAGAGTGGAAGGGAAGAATCAAGAGAATTCTGATGGGGAATAGTCAGGAAAACAGGAGCGAAGGAAAGGGTTTCATGCAGGGAATGTAGCGCTTCAGGCCGTCCGGTTGACTGGAGGTGCAAAGGCCAGAAAGGCTGCTATCAACTCTCAGTTCGCTGCTCGCTCTCAGACAACCAAGATGCCATGAAATCCACACCCAGTGGAAGGGTGAACCTTCCCAGTGCCACAGCTGTTTAATTTTTCTACACCCAAACCTCTGAGGCTATGGCTCCCCAACTGTGCCCAGGCAGCCTTTCAAGTAACTTGTTAAAAGATCTGCAGATGTGCCGATCCACAAGATCTAGAAATAGATCTGGAAATCTGTATTTCTGAAGCTCCCCAGGTGACGTGTGAGTCCCTGGGGTGGCATTTCAGCATCACTAGTCTTCAGCTCCACTGAACGAGGCAATTCTCTGAGTTGCAGCAATTAGGATAACCCTGAAATGCCTACTGAATTTGAGAACAGGGTCTGCTCCAATGGGAAGCCCCGTCCCCACCCCACTTTAGTCATGCTCTGCAAAGGGCTCCACGATCCTTCTGGCCACTTCTGCCTTCCTTCCAGCTCAGAGACCTGATGTCCTGGTTGATTTTTCCCTCTAAACAGCTAATTAAGCAATAATCCTAGAAGAATTTATCACTCTGACAAGGTTGTTGATTAACTGTCCCCAAGCCAAGCCCAAAGTGCTTAATATCCCAGCAGAATGGTCAATAGTGAGTCCAGCAGTGGCCCGGGGCTTCAGCAAAGCGGGTGCAGCCTGCATCTGAGAAGGCAGATTGCAGAATGGGTAATTGGGCCCAATTTTACAGCCAGGTAAAGGACAGAGGAGGGAAAGATGGACTGGCTTGGAGATGCCCAAACTAAAGCACCTCCTAAAGGATTCTAGGCCATTATTGCTGAGACCAGAACATGTCTGCAGAGGGCTTCTAAAGCCCTGGACAGCCCTGGACCAAGGAAGGAGGCTGGTGTCACACATAATTCTCCAGCTGTGCGACTGTGTCCACTATACAGCTGCTGGATCGGATGGAGAGATGGGCAGAACAAGATGACTGGCTTTGAGAGATGACTTAAGCCCAGACTGGAATATATAACTCTTTTCCACATTTAGAATATTATGTCAAACACTTCTCTGGTCCCTAAAAAGATTTACTTTACTGCTTGAACAATGAGCTCATGAGTGAGCAGAGTATAATGAAACACTGCCCCCTCGTGGTCACAGCTGTAACTTCCAAAGGCTTCCTGGTCACGCAAGCGTCCAGCGGGGTGGTGGTGTGGCGCCTGCAGCCCGCTCAGGCTGGGCAGAACCCACTCGGGAACTACGCCGCTGTCTGAACTCTCGCCACTTCCACCACCGTTTATAGAAAGAGTGGTGGATGTTGGCAAGCACGCTGAACCAAGGGACAGGAAATCATCCCGCGGCTATGTTGCCCAGTCACTCTGATTTGGTTCCTGACATGTTGTGACATCTTATGTGTACAATCCTGTTCAGCTAGAAAGAAAAGAAAGGAACACACAGTGTGTGCTCTGTGAGTGTTGGGAGCAGGAATGGCGAGCATACAGGGGTATTGGGGGTGCACAGAGTCCCGAGCAAGAGTCTCAGCTTCAGGGTCACCTCCTGCATCTTTCTCTACCTAGCTTTGAATTCGGAAAATGACCTTTCCCTTTCTAGACCTCCTCATCCAACAAGAAGGGTCGGACTTGAAGATCCCTAAGGTCCCTTCTGTGTCACAAACTTGGGGAGCAGTTGCTAACACATTCTAACCAGCAGTCACCATTGAGCGTAACAATTAAGAGCCAGAACCAAGGAGCCCCTAGCATCCTGAGACCACACTGTCCGGGCCGTGAGTCAAACGCCCTTTTACCTCCTCTCTGAGAAGTGAGCATCTCCTTAGGGTGTCTGTTGGCAGCAGAAATTTTAAATCTCCCTCCACTACCTGGAGTGAGCCCTTAGCCAGTGCTAGCCTTGTCCTGGGCAGACAATGGTCAGACAGTGACATCTAGTGGCCTTCTCTGCTAGTCCGGGCCCAGCCTGACAACTGAGTCCACCATTGCAGCTAAATTGACATTAATCCACAGTATGGGTGATGCAAGATAGCGGGCTGTGATCTCAGTCTCCAAGTGCCTCTGATCTTTGTTTGGTTAAGGGGTTTGGCTTAGCCCCCAAATCCATCTCTTGTGACTCCTTTGTTCTCTGAGTTTCTGCCATGTTTAGACTTCTAGGAGCAGCCCAGGGTTGAAATTCCACCCAGAGGTCATGTGCACGCCTGTCCACACACCCAGCACTGTGTAACTGTGAGACAGGACCACACGGCCAGGCCATTGCCCCATGCCAGCATCTGCCTTTATCCCAGCTGCCAGCTGCTAAAGTAAGAAAAAAGTAACAAACCAGCTAGAACAAAGTTGGTTACGGTTCTGAAAGGGTCAGAAGACAGTGCACCTGGTTCTATCCAGTAGGGAACCAGAGCCTTGCCCTATCACTGGAGGTCCTGGAACTCATATATTCCTAAAGAATGCTTCTTAGATGTTTTATTCCTATGTTTATATCCCACAAATGGTAAAGAGAAGAGAGGGTGGCTGTGGGTTGAGGCTTCAGAACCAGGCACAAGCTCAGCCCAAGAGAACAAGGTAGCTCGGCTTTCCGGGTCCTTGCTCAGTCCTGGTTTA